TTCAATTACCTTCATATACTGAGGATCAACTTAGTATATACTAAGCAGGGATTTCAACAGGCTGCACTCACACAACCGAACCAGGTTAGGGTATTGTTCGACTAATAGTGTTGTTTTTAAGTTTCATAGTAGAACACATTAAGGACAGAGATCCTACATGGGGAGCATGTACCCAGTGACTCCTGTTGTTGATTTAACAATTGGCACTCTTATTTATGATGTCAGCAATCACCCGAGACTCTTGCTATGAGCTGTCTAGGCTATGGAAGCCCCTTGAGTTCACCAACTCTGAATTTGTTTAGTCAAGGCCGTATCACAGTGGAGGTTCCTTCCTCCCTTCAGAGAAAGGCACCTCTTTCCTTGATCGCCTGTTCCTTCTGCTGGGGTCTTGTTCACCAGGATCTTTCATTTAGGTTGTTTTTGCCACCGTGTCATGGCTTTCCATGCCTGTGAGACTCTCTCATGGACCTTTTAGCCAGATCCAAATGTCCCAAAGGTTGATTCTGAGGCAGGAGTGCTGTTTTGGGCATTTGCCATAAATTATATACTTTTACCAACACTTGTTATGATTTTTTTTAAACTCACACATATTTTGAACATAAACTTTGAAATAAATCTTAAATGGTATCAACTTAACCACTAATGTTTGCTTTATGTAAGATATTGTTCTGAAGCTTGAGTGTGCAACAGAATCACAAGGATAGCTTGTGAAAATGTGATTGCTGGTCCTTCACCCAGCTTTCCTGATTCAGAATGTCTGGGTGGTGGGAGCAGGGGCGGGAGCTGACAATTTGCATTTCTTTTCTTCTTTATTTTTTTAAGATTTTTAAGGATTTTATTCAGTGAGAGAAATGCACAGGAAAGTGAGGGATTTAATTAGGAGAGAAAGAAGTCTAGAAGCTAAGTTGGGTCTGTACCAGGCAGAGAGCAGGCCAGGTGTCATGTGGAGCAAGCATGCAGGCAGGAAAGCAGAGGCAGGGTGGAGGCCATAAGGCCTCACACCTGGAGGTGTGGTGCAACAAGGGTGCGCAACCCAAAAAGGAAGAGGCCCACCTTGCTGCAGGTCTTTTATCTACCCCCAAAGAGGAGTGGTTATGTAATCTGGTTGTCAGGTGGGCGTCCAGGTGAGATCAGGTAGGGGCATGAGATCACACAGAGGGTGTGGTCTCTACCTTACAAACCTGATCAGTTTTATCCTATCTGCTGCCTGCATCATTCCCCCCTCAGAGAGATGCCAGACCTTAATATTAAGGGATGCTGAAGGGCGTAGAATCATCCTATCTTCTATAGCTGCTTCCTGTTTCTCAGGCCCTGCCTGTTCTGGGTCTGGAAGTCTCCATCTATCTCATCTAATGAATTTGTTTTATGAGCTGGAGAATTTTCAGTCACCACCAATGGCTGTGTCCCTTGCATGGTCGGTTATTCTTGGAAGTCATTGAGTTCTGAAACATAGAGGTTTGTTAATTAACATAGACAAAACCAGAACAAAACCAATTGCAAGTGGTGTGCCCATTAAGATGGAAAGAACTTATCTTACAGACTCCCAGATAGTGGATGCTGATAGGCTACCCTTATGTAGATTATAAAACCATTTAGCTTGAGCATAGAGAATTACAATAGAAGAACCTGTTAAGGAGTTTATTGTCAATAACAGCTTCCAGAGAGAATCAAAAGAGGAGGCAGGTACAGCATGTCTGCCTTAAGGTGCAACAGTCTTGATGTGACGAAAAGCAAAAGCTTTGCTTATCTTTTTGTTTTTGAAGGGGTATCTAAGATCTTAAATTGGCTTACAGGAATGTCTTGAGTTCACCTGTGAAGACTTAAGAGGTAGAAGTTTAGACAATTTGCATTTCTAAAAAAATTCCAGGTAATGCTGATGCTGCAGGTTCAAGACCACATTTTGAAAATGACTATTATGTAAAAGTAGTTTCTGAGAACTGCACTCGTACTGCTTCATAAAAACAAGCAACTTGAGAAGTTCAATAGGGCTTTTAACCATCCTTAGAGTGGAAATTTAGGTTCTACACCAAACATGTGAAACTCATTTTAGGGAACTAGAATGAAGTCCTAAGAGTGATATACTTCTTCCATGTTCAAAATAGAAGTTTTGTCATGTTTCCATAAACAACAGTTGTTATCAAGGAGTTACATTAGTTGAATGAGGGTTTAAGTTACCTAGTTATATTAGCATGATGATAGTTTAAGTTAGAGTATCACTTCTAAAAAACATGTTAAATGTCTAAGGAGAAAGTTTTAATTGTGAATGAGACTGTAATCATTAAATGACCTATTAAAGCAGTGAAATTGCATGTTTTTCCCTAAGGATCTGAAATATTATCCAAACAGGTCACCCTTCCTGTCAATTCATAGGACTAAGACCTGAGGGGGGAAAAATCATTGGAAATGATAAGCTTGTATTGTATATCTTAAAACAGATAATTGGGGAGCAGCATTTAAACCTTATTTCTTTAGGATTTAGGGAGGGCTGGTAAGAGTTCTCTAAAATAAGCTTATTACATGGGAGTGGAGTACATCTAATTTTGCTCATTTTTAAAATAACATCTGGCTTGTCAAGGATGATTTAACTTAGAGAAATAGATATTAGTGGGTGCCAGTCCAGAGCTCACGAAAGAACACAAAGTGATTCTGGGGTTGTGTGTTTTGTTTTCTTTTTTCTCACTAATGATCTTTGTGACATAGTATCCCAGTCAGGGAGGTCATATTGTCCTAGGTCAGATGGTGTCAGGTTGACTATTTCCTTCCATCATGTGCCACTCTACCCACTCCTGCTTGACACATGTAAGGTTCTGTTTTGTCACGTGACTGCTGTAATAGTTTGCATTATTCAATTATACTTTACATGTAGCATCTGCTAACAAGTAAATGATCAACTGTTGGATTAGATGGGTTTTTTAGTGAAGTAATTAATGGCATAATTACAAACATGAGTGAAAACATGCAAATATCTATAAAGAATTTAACTTCATATTCCTTTCTTTCTAAATGTCCCAGAATGGTGCACTTTGCATAGTGTTTGAAACAAAATTTCCCCGATTGCATTAGTCAAGTGATTGGGTGGCTTACAATAGCATTGTTAAGAACATGGGTTGCCAGGCTCCCATATCTGTTATCTCTCTGACAAAATCTTAATGGTAAGTTGATTCTGTGTCTTAATGTATCATTCAGAATGTCTGTGTGACAACTAATTGGGGTGTGCTAAGATTGACTTTGTGAATCATTATTATGTGTATCTTGCTTCTATGACAATATTTTAAAACACCCTCCTTAGGAATGTGGTATGTAGAGGCCACCAATGAAAGTGTAGTACACCTTTTAACAAAAATTTTTTTCCTTTTAAGATTTATTTACTTATTTTAAAGGCAGAGTTATAGAGAGAGAAAGGGAAAAACGCAGAAAGAGATCATCTGCTGATTCACTCCCCCAAATGGCTGCAACAGCTGGAGCTGTGCCAATCTGATGCCAGTCAGGAGCTTCTTCCAGGTCTCCTATGTGGGCTCAGGGGCCCAAGCACTGGGGCCATCCCCCACTGGTTTCCCAGGTGCATTAGCAGGGAGATGGATGGAAAGTGGAGCAGCGAGGACTAGAACCGGTGCCCAAATGGGATGCCAGCACTGCAGGCAGCATCTTTACCTGCTGTGCCATAGTGCCAGCCCCTTAACAAAAAATTTTTTTAAATATTTGTTAAATCAGTATGGTAAACAACAATTCCAAAGCGAATAGTAAGTTTTCTTAATTTAATCTCTATAAATTGTTTTTAGCTAATTATTACAGTAGGAACATTTTGTAGTTATATTTATTTTAAAATTTATTTTAAAATAACAAATTTTTTAAAACTTTATTTGTTTGAGAGACAGAAAGAGATAGTGAGTCCTATCCAGTGACTCACTTTCCAAATGCCCACATTGTCTGGGGTTGCTGAAGCTGGGAGCCTGGAACTCAGTTCTGGTCTCCCAAGTGGGTGACAGGGATCAAAAAGCCTGAGTCATCATTGCCACTCCCCAGGCCTGGAGTCAGTCTCCTGCCAGGAATTGAACTAGGCACTTCCATTTGCAGTGTGGGTATCCTAACTAGTGTCTTAACCACTAGACCAAACACCCATCTGCCTCCTCACCCCTAAAACATGTTTTTCCTTTTAAAATTGTTTGTTTCATACATTTAGCTATTGGAATATATGATTTTTCTCTCCATCAAATTAAGACTGATCTTTTTTTTTTTATATTTGCTTTCTCTAAAGAAATTGGATTTGTGGGGCTGGTGCCGTGGCTCACTTGGTTAATCCTCCGCCTGCGGCGCCAGCATCCCATATGGGTGCCAGATTCTGTCCTGGTTGCTCCTCTTCCAGTCAGCTCTCTGCTGTGGCCCGGGAGGGCAGTGGAGGATGGCCCAAGTGCTTGGGCTCCTGCACCCGCATGGGAGACCAGGAAGAAGCACCTGGCTCCTGGCTTCAGATTGGCGCGGTGCTGGCTGTGGTGACCATTTTGGGAGTGAACCAACGGAGGAAGGACCTTTCTCTCTGTCTCTCTCACTGTCTATAACTCTACCTGTCAAAAAAAAAAAAAAAAAGAATCAGATTTTTTTTAATACTGGATAGTATTAAGAGTGATACATAGCTCCTTGGAGTATTCATCCTTTGTCCAAAGTGGACATTCCTTGTTTATAGATTATTCCTGCCCCATTTTGTCCAAACAAAACATAAAATGGATATAATAATAAGCACAGTTCAGAAAATAAAATACATTTAAAATAAGTTTAAAAGTTAAAATGGGGGGACTAGCATTGTGGTATAGTAGTTTAAGACTCAGCTTGTGGGCCGGCGCCGCGGCTCACTAGGCTAATCCTCTGCCTAGCGGCGCCGGCACACCGGGTTGGGGCGCCGGATTCTGTCCCGGTTGCCCCTCTTCCAGGCCAGCTCTCTGCTGTGGCCAGGGAGTGCAGTGGAGGATGGCCCAGGTGCTTGGGCCCTGCACCCCATGGGAGACCAGGAAAAGCACCTGGCTCCTGGCTCCTGCCATCGGATCAGCGGATGCGCCGGCCGCAGCGTGCCGGCCGCGGCGGCCATTGGAGGGTGAACCAACGGCAAAGGAAGACCTTTCTCTCTGTCTCTCTCTCTCACTGTCCACTCTGCCTGTCAAAAAAAAAAAAAAAAAAAAAGACTCAGCTTGTAAGGGGCCAGCACTGTGGCATAGTGGGTAAAGCCACCACTTGTAGTGCCAGCATCTCAAGTGGGTGTCAGTTTTGAGTCCCAGCTGCTCCAGTTATGATCCAGCTCTCTGCTATGGCCTGGGAAGGCAGTAGAAGATGGCCCAAGTCCTTGGGCTCCTGCACCCACGTGGGAGACCCAGAAGAAGCTCCTGACTCCTGGCTTCTGGCTTCAGAGCAGTACAGCTCCAGCCATTGTGGCCATTTGAGGAGAGAACCAGCAGATGGAAGACCTCTCTCTCTCTGCCTCTGCCTCTCTGTAACTCTGCCTTTCAAATAAATAAATAAATAAAAATAAATAAATAAATCTTAAAAAAGACTCTGCCTGTGGCGCCAGCATCCCATGTGGGTTCCAGTTCCTGTCCTGGTTGTTCCTCTTCTGACCCAGCTCTCTGCTAATGGCCTGGAAAAGCAGTGGAAGATGGCCTAAGTGTTTGGGCCCCTGCACCCATGTGTGGGACCTGAAAAAACCTCCTGGCTCCAGCTGTTGCAGTTATTTGGGGAGTGAACCAGCAGATGGAAGACCTCTCTATCTCTGTCTCTCCCTCTCTCTGTCTGTAACTCTACCTCTCATATAAATAAATAAATATTTAAAATAAAATGTTAAAAAGGGAAGCTAGCTCTGTGGTATAGTGAGTTAGGTCACCACCTACAATTCTAGCATCCCATGTGGGTACTAGTTCGAGTCCCTGCTGCTCCACTTCCAATCCAACTTCCTGCTAATGCACCTAGGAAAGCAGCAGATGACAGCCCAAATGCTTGGGCCTGCCATCCATGTGGGAGACCCAAAACAAGCTCTGGCTCCTGGCTTCAGCCTGGCCCAGCCTCTGCTGGTGCAGCCATTTGTGGAGTGAACCAGCAGATGGATGATCTCTAACTCTGACTTTCACAATGAATAAATAAATCTTTAAAAAAAAGTTAAAATGGAGTTTACAAAAGGAAATTAATAGAAAAATAAAATATGTATGGTTGATGCACGAGAAGCATACCATAAAGCAATCTATTAATTTGACTGTAAATTCTGTCAATAAACTCAAAGGTGAAAACGTGAACGTGTAAGAGCAGGGGCTTATCACTTCTTGGCCTTTTGGCTAAGATCAAGTGTGAAGAACAGGAGCTCATACTGTTACTTGTGTGCACATTGTTCATAAGCATTCCACCCTCCCACTAGAGTCTTTACCTCAAGAGATTATTAAAGGAAGTGAGCTAGGAGAAGGGAGAAAAAAAGAGAGATCAGAACTTTGGAGAATAGGGAGTTTGAAGCCACACCCAATTGTGGTGTATCTTCCAAGGAAGCTATTTCTACTATAAGGCTTAATTTTTAAGATTCTCCTAATTCATAAGATGAAATAGTAATAAATCATTCAGGAAAGGTATTATTCCTGATATTGGAACCAAGAAATTTCTCCTGTGAACCCTCGTGGTGCAAGGTCATGTGGGCACTCTATGTACCATTCACAACCTTATTTTAAAAAAAAATTTTAATCATTTGAAAGGCAGTTTTAAAGAAAGGAGAGACAGAGAAAGACAGATTGTCCATCCCCTGGTTAACTCCTGCAATGGCTGCAATGGCTGTGGCTGGGCCGAGCTGAATCCAGGATCCAGGAACTTTTTCCAGATCTTCCATGTGGGTGCAGGGTCCCAACCACTCAGGCCATCCACCATTGCTTTCCCAGAGCTGGATTGGAAATGGAACAGCCAGGACAGGAACCAGTGCCCACATGGGATGCTGGTGTTGCAGACAGCAGCTTAACCCACTATGGCACAGTGTGGGCCCCCATTCACAATGTTCTTGGTACCTGGTGAATGGGTTATGTAAGCATGAGCAGTAGAAGTGTCAGAAGAACAGAAGAACAATGTATGAGCTTGATAGAAGTCTCTGAAGATACTAAACAGGTCTCAGTAACTCATTACTACTAATGGTATGAAGTTGGTCAGAAGACCTGATAGCAGGAGTTTTGCCTTTTGACCCTTTTGGGAAATGGATAAGCTGAGTTTTCATTTCAGATCCACAGTAACCCACAACAGTGCTAGACCTTGTTTTAAAAATTTATAGTTTCAGTTGCTGGTGTTGTGGCACATCAGGTTGGCCTTGGCCTATAATGCTGGCATCCCGTAGGAGCTCCAGTTCAAGCTTCAGCTGCTCTACTTCCAATAGAGCTCCCTGCGATTGCGCCTAAGAAAGCTCTAGAAGATGGCCCAAATGCTTGGGTCCCTTCTGCCCACATGGGAGACCCGGATGGAGTTCCAGGCTCCTGTCTTTGATCTAGTCCAGCCCTGGCCATTGCAGGAGTGAACCAGCAGATAGAAGATCAGTTGATCTTCTCTAATTCTGTATTCAATGTCTTTCTCTCTGTAATTCTGCCTTTCAAATAAATCAATCTTTAAAAAATAATTTATAGTTTTAAGTTCATCACAGTTTTATTTTTGTCTGGTTTTTAGAAAAGGAATATATATTTATAATATCCCTGATATATAGTAAGCAGTTTGAAAAAGATACTTGCATGAGTTTACAGTGACAGAATTGCCTTTGATGTTTTTTAAATAGAGTGGGTACTTGTTGTGGTTTGAATATGTCTGCTCCATAATTCATGTTGAAACTAAATCTCCAGTGCAACAGTATTACAAGGTGGGACTTCTAGGCGATGATTAGACCAGAAAGGCCATGCCCTAATGGGTGGAGTTACCCACCTTATGAAACCACTATGGACCAGCACTGTGGCATGACAGGTTAAGCCACAGCTTGGGATGCCTGCATCCCATACTGGAGTGCCTGGTTCTAGTCCTGGCTACCAATCCAGCTTCCTGTGCATGTGCCTAGGAGGCAGCAGATGATGTCTGGAGTACCTGAGTCCCTGCCACCTACATGCAAGACCCAGATGGGAGTTCCTGTCTCCTGGCTCTAGCCTGGCCCAGCCCTAGCTGTTGTGGGCATTTGGGGTGTGAGGAGTGTGAAGATCTCTCTCTCTTTCTTTCCCTCCCTTTCTCCCTCCCTCCTCCTCCCCCACCCCCACCTTTCAGATAACTAACTAACTAAATCTTTATTTGTAAAGGGCTTGACAGAGTGAGTTTAGCCCCTTTGCCCTTTTGTCCTTCCCCCCACATTAAGACCGAGCACTCAAGGTGCTGTCTTTGGAAGCAAAGACCCATACCCTCATCAGGCACCAAATCTGTTAGAACCTTGATCTTGGACTTCTCACACTCCATAACTGTAAGGAAATAAATTCTGTTCTTCATAAATTACTTAGTCTTACATATTTTATCATGGCAGCACAAATGTACTGAGAAAGTACTATTTCTTTGAGAGAGGGAACACCCCCATCTTGCTGGTTCTCTCCACCACATGCCCACGGTGGTCAAAGGATGGGCCAGGGCCAGAGCCAGCAACTGGGAGCACAATCCAGGTCTCCCATGAGGATGGTGGGAACCTAATGACTTGAGCCATCACCACTGCCTCCCAAGGTCTGACAATGGTGAGAACTAAAGTCAGGTGACAGAGCCAGGAATCCAACCCAAGCACTCTTATATGTGGGGTACACACATCTTCATGGGTAGGCCAAATGCTCACTCTGATACTCTTTTTTAATTTGAAGACAGGCTTGCCAACTCCACCAGACATCAAATTAATCAGTAAAACATTTTCCCTCTTAAGTCTTGCTGAACTAGAAATACCTAAAAACTGCAAATAGAAAGTTACAGAATTAATATAGAGACTTTCCAATTATAATAAATCTCTTCTTGCCAAAAAAGGAGATGTACATGTTAAGGATGCCAGAAAAACCTTTTGAAAATTTTGTTGGGGTCAGTATTAAGGCACAGCAGGTTAAGCATCTGCCTGCAATGCCAGCATCCCATTTTAGAGCACTAGTTCAAGTTTAGGCTTTTCTACTTTAAATCTAGCTCCTTGCTAATGTGCTTGGGAAAATGGTAGGAGATGGTCCAAGTGCTTGGGCCCCTGCTAGCCACCTGAGTCACCCCTGTGGAGTTCCAGACTCCTGGCTTTGGCCTGGTCAAGCCCAGCTATTGTGGCTATTTGGGGAATAAAACAATGGATAGGGCCGGCACCGCGGCTCACTAGGCTAATCCTCCACCTTGCGGCGCTGCCACACCGGGTTCTAGTCCCTGTTGGGGCACCGGATTCTGTCCCGGTTGCTCCTCTTCCAGTCCAGCTCTCTGCTGTGGCCCGGGAAGGCAGTGGAGGATGGCCCAAGTGCTTGGGCCCTGCACCCCATGGGAGACCAGGAGAAGCACCTGGCTCCTGCCATCGGATCAGCGCGGTGCGCCAGCCATGGCGGCCATTGGAGGGTGAACCAACGGCAAAGGAAGACCTTTCTCTCTGTCTCTCTCACTGTCCACTCTGCCTGTCAAGAATAGAACAAAAAAAAAAGATTAAAAAAAAATAAAACAATGGATAGAAGATTTCTCTATCTTCGTCACGCTGCCTTTTAAATAAATCTTTAAAATAATTTTTCTCTCATCTGTTTATGAAAGATGTAATAGGTAACCATACTGGATTTGAGCTTGGAAGATAGATGGAAACAACACTTCCTCTACCAATGAACCAAAATAATTCTGCAAAATAGACATACAGTACTTTAAGCATATCAGTCTTTTACCAAAATAAGAACTTGAAAATGAGAATCCCAGAGCCACAGCAGTTATGAAAATATCATAAGTTTACCAAATTCTTAATTATGTTCTAGTATTTTGTTTTAGCAGTTCCATTTCATTGTCCATTACCTGGTTATCAGAGGGAAAAAATGTCATTAATGTTTGCCTTCTTACTGTATTCTTTTTAATTAAGTTGTAGCTTCAGTGAGTCACTAGTGTAAGGATACCTGGCTGTAGGCATTAGCTGGGACCTCCCCCACATCTGCATATGTGCACCCACACACTGTGGTATCTTTAACCACTAATTGTGTTTGTAGTTTAACCCATTCATGGTCTTCATATTAACCATGGAGATAAGCACCAGAAAGTGCACCAAAGCTGAGGGGAACTAACAGACTCTGAATTTTAAATATATTTTAAAAGAATAATTTTATCTAGTAGTTTGATTTGTATTTGTTATTTCTTGTGCATTGACTCATGTAATCTGCAACCCCATAAGGTAGATCCTATTATTGTTTCCCTTTTACAGTGAGGAAACTGAAGCTGAAAAGATGAAATGAGATTGTCACCTTGCCAATAAGTGGTAGGATCAATATTCAGTGTGTTCCACAGCCCCTTATTCTGATTCCACTGTACTGCTATAATGACGCAAGATCTAGCTTAGATCTCAAACTACTAGATAAATTCTTTTTAAAAATATATTTTTGGGGGGGGGAGGGCTGGCTTTGTGGCATAGCAGGTAAAGCCACTGCCTGTGATGGCAGCGTCCCACATGGATGCCAGTTCAAGTCTCTGGTGCTCCACTTTCCATCCAGCTCCCTGCTCATGTGCCTGGGAAAGCAGGGAAGGATGGCCCATATATTTGGCTGCTTTCCTGAGCTATTGGCAGGGAGCTGGATTGGAAGTGGAGAATCAGAGACTTGAACTGGCATCCATGTGGGATACTGCCATCACAGGCAGTGGCTTTACCCACTACGCCACAATGCTGGCCCCTAAACAAAAAAAATTTTTTTGGCATTACATTTTGTATTAATCTGAAGGTTGATGTTTGGTGATATTTATTCTTCCCAGCCAAGACAATGATACATTTTTCCTTTGTAGATTTTTGAGATTTTTCAAGATAGGGTTTTTTTTTTTAGAATAGTATTGATTTTACAGCAAGGTTATAAAGATAGTAAAAGGAATTCCCATATACCCATGTTTAGTTTTTTCTGTCACTAACATATTAATACTGTACATTTGTCACAATTAGCAAACCAATATTGATATATTATTGTTAACTAAAGTCCATACTTTATTCAGATTTTCTTAACTTTTACCTACTGATTGTTTTTCACGTGAGTTCTCAACCAGGATACCACATTACATTTAGTCATTATGTCTCTCTGGGCTCCCCCTTGCTGCAACAGTTTCTCAGACTCCTGTTGGTTTTGATAACCTGTACAATTTTGAGTCATATTGATCAGGTATTTTGTAGAATTCAATTTTGTAGTCCTTCAGCTGGGATTTGTATTGTGTTTTTCTCAGTTGTGGGTTTGGGGGAAGAAGACCGCAGAGTGTCACTCTCATCACTTCCTGTTGAAGTTCAGACCATCTCTGATTGCCACTGTTGTCATCAGTCTTGATGATTAATGAAAGGAGTGTTTCTGTGGTTCCTCCACTGTAGAGTTAGTCTTTTATCCCTCTTTCCATAATGTACTCCTCAGAGAGAAGTCACTGTTAGCAGCCCACACTTAAAGAACTGGGGAGTTACATTCTGTCATTTCCTTGAGGGCAGAGACAGTCTGGTACCACTTGATTCCTTCAGTGTTGGGCCACACTTATGATGGTAGTCCCATAAAATTATGTCATGTAGTGACATCATAGTTTTTTTTTTTTTGTATCAGTATACTCTATGATATTCATTTAAGAACAAAGTTGCCTAACAATCCATTTCTCAAAATCTCCTCAAGACATATGGCTATATTTATATATATTGTATAGAATTCTTTATCTTGTGCAACTTTCTTCTTCCTTTCTCTGCTTCTCTCCTTTCTTTCTTCTTTCCTCCCCTCCTTCCTTCCTTTCTTTCAAATTTTTATTTTTATTTTTTTGAAAGAGATGGAGACAGGAAGAGAGACCGAGATCTTCCATCCACAAGTTCACTCCTCAAATGCCTGCAACAGCCAAGCCTGGACCAGACTGAAGCTAGAACCTAGAATCCAGTCTAGGGTTCCCTTTTGTGATGGCAGGGACCCGAGTACTTGAGCCATCCTCTCTGCTCCCCTTCACGGAGGGTATGCATTAGCAAGAAGCTGGAATCAGAGGAAGCTGGGACTCAAACCCAGCCACTCCAAATTGGGGTGTAGGCATTCCAAGAAGCCTTAAATACCAAACTCCCGCCCCAGTATTTTTTTTTTATCTTAGTCTTTTTTTAGTCTTCTTTGAGGGAGAACAGTGTTACTCTTTTTTTTTTTTTAATTATCAAGGGCAATTAAAGGAAATATTAGTATTTTTCTACTTGTACTAACTTTTCAAAATCAAGTAATACTTTTTCTGCCACTTAATGTCCCAGTTTTTCCCAGTCATCTTATGATCTTTTTTTCAGGATTAATCATATTTATGGATTGCCTGTTTTGGGAGACCAGCATATATTTTGCATTTTCTTTTTGTTTCCTTAACAATGGAGTAGAAAGGGTATAGATGAAGGGAGAAATTGAAATAATTAATATAAACTTGTTTAGAGCAGCTCTTTCATTACTGTGTCTCAGGTAATTAAAAAGGGGTTCTTACTGAACTGAAAATACTAGTTAATCAGCAAAGGGGAGAAGGGTATATAGGATGTTTGCTTTCAATATTATATACTTATGTGATGCTAGAGTTCTTTTTAAAGAAGTTTTTTTTGTAACTTGGAAAATAATAAAGGTTTATTTTTAGAGTCAATGGAAATGCAAAGGAAAGAACTTATCATTTCTGCGGTTCAAAATGCTTTAGAACTTGAGAACTCTTTTCCATACTTGATAAGGTTAAATCTCTTGGTTATTTTGCATTAATTGTGTTTGTCCCCATATTTTTCACTATTTAGGCTAAACTGGTGAAATTGTACTTCTGCCCAGTTATTTTATGTAATTGCAATGATTACTTTGGCATTTGAAGATTACTGGAGATTCATTTTCAACAGTTCTAAGTGTGTAAGTCTTCTAACAAGATTGTAAACATTGTATTACAGACAGAGACTGCCTTTTATGTGTTTTCCATGGAAAGGCATGTAGCTGTTTTGGTGTGTTGCTGTTGAAGTGATAGGAAACTTTCCCATTGTCTCATTGTTCTGCTGCTTCAACACTGATTTCTTTCTTACTGGATCTCTATTACAATTTCAGCTCTGTGCCCTTTGAGCCTTTATCTTTGTGTCCTTCCTCTCTCCTTTGACCTACCAACCCATGCACTTAGACGTTCCAATTCAAAGAAACCCCTCTCCGATTCCCCTGGAGGTGGCATAGTCTCACAATGAGAGCGCTATTGTAGCCACCAATTATTTTCCAGCTCCAGGAGGAAGAAATTCTACCTGCTCTTAAGCCTCAATGCAACTCCTCCCTCTTCCAAAGAACTCTTAGAAGTTTAAGCTCTCGGGTTGGTGCCGGTGCAGTGGCTCACTTGGTTAATCCTCCGCCTGTGGCGCCGGCATCCCATATGGGCTCCGGGTTCTAGTCCCAGTTGCTCCTCTTCCAGTCCAGCTCTCTGCTGTGGCCCAGGAGGGCAGTGGAGGATGGCCCAAGTGCTTGGGCCCCTGTACCCGCATGGGAGACCAAGAGAAAGCACCTGACTCCTGGCTTCGGCACGGCGACGGCTGTGGTGGCCATTTGTGGAGTGAACCGACAGAGGGAAGATCTTTCTCTCTCTCTCTCACTAACTCTATCTGTCAAAAAAATAAAAATAAAAAAAAGTCTTGCCACTCCATTTGGAAATTAGGGTATTGCAAGATTTAATAGCAGAAAGGATAAATTTTCAATAGAGCTTTATTTACAATTTGTGCCACTTTAGAAACTATGTCCTATGTGTTCTTTTATCTGCCTTCTATGTTATTTTTAGCTCAATACAATATACACACCGATTGTTTAACATAACTCAAAAACTACCAGTTTTTTTTTTTTTTTAAGATTTATTTATTTGAAAGGTAGAGCTACAGAGAGGCAGAGGCAGAGAGAGGGAGAGAGGGAGAGAGAGAGAGAGAGTTGTCTTCCATCCTCTGGTTCACTTTCAAAGGGCCACAATGGTCGGAGCTGAGCCAATCCAAAGCCAGGAGCCAGGAGCTTCTTCCAGATCTCCCACACAGTTGCAGTTGTAGGGGCCCAAAGACTTGGGCCATCCTCCACTGCTTTCCTAGGCCATATCAGAGGGCTGGATCGGAAGCGGAGCAGCTGGGTCCTGAACTGGCACCCATATGGGAGGCTGGCACTGCAGGCAACAGCTTTGCTTGCTAAGCCACAGTGCCATTTTTCAGTTTTGATTTTATATGAACATTCTATTTGATATGATTTAATTTTAGCATAGTGACTTTCTGATAAGCTCGTTGTCTTCTACAATTAAAGTAAATCAACTTTATTAAATAAATTTTATTATCTATGCCCAAATTCATTCAATAGGTATTTTTTTTAAGATTTATTTTATTTATTTGAAAGAGTTATAGAGAGGTAGAGACAGAGAGAGAGAGGTCTTCCATCTGTTGGTTCACTCTCCAGATAGCCACAATGGCCGGAACCGCTGCAGTCTGAAGCCAGGAACTGGGAGCTTCCTTTGGGTCTCCCAAGTGGATGCAGGGGCCCAAGGACTTGGGCTGTCCTCCACTGCTTTCCCAGGCCTTGGCAGAGAGCTGGATCGGAAGAGGAGCAGCCAGGACCAGAATCGGCCCCCAAATGGGATGCAGGCACTTTAGGACAGGGCTTTTTTTTTTTTTTTTTTTTTTTTTTTAAGATTTATTTATTTTGCTTGAAAGTCACAGTTACACAGAGAGAGGAAGACAGAGAGAGAGAGGTCTTCCATCCAATGGTTCACTCCCCAATTGGCCACAATGGCCGGAGCTGTGCCGATCTGAAGCCAGGAGCCAGGAGCTAGGAGCTTCTTCCGGGTCTCCCACAAGGGTGCAAGGGCCCAAGGACTTGGGCCATCGTCTGCTGCTATCCCAGGCCATAGCAGAGAGCTGGATCGGAAGTGGAGCAGCCGGGACTCAAACTGGTTTCCATATGGGATGCAGGCACTTCAGGCCAGGGTGTTAACCCGCTGCGCTACAGTGCCAGTCCCTCAGGCCAGGGCTTTAACCTGCTGTGCCACAGCGCCTGCCCCTCAATAAGTATTAAGTAAAAACTTATGTTGCATAGTTCTGTCAGTGGCCATAGATAATCTTTGCTCTTAAGAAATTTACAACCTAGCAGAGTTGATAAGATGCATAGACAAATAAGAGACATTGAGGCTCAGGTATGGATATTGAGTAAGGCTTCCTGAAGGTGACATTTGTGATGAATTTCCATCAAGCAGAATTAGTGAGAGATATTATCAGTAGAGACAATAGTTTGAGCCATGAATGAAAATGATAGTCCAAGGTACTCAAAAGATATAGCCCTTTGACCTTAGACTTCCAGCCTTTAGAGAAGTGAGAAATAAATTTCTTCATAAATGTGAAAAAGCAAGGAAAGCTATACTTGAAGAATAGTGAGTTGACCACTAGTAGCCAGAGTAGAGTTTACCTGTTTGTTAGTAGTAGAATAGGGGGTTGAAAGGGTTACTTGTGACCATGGGTTGGAGTACTTTAGCATTTGGAAGAATTTGAATTTTCTTTCAGTCATTCAACAGCTATGTTAAGAATACAAAGGTAAACATATAATACAATCATAAACACAGATATGGTCTTTGCCCTTATGGAACTTATGGCCCATCATTAATGTAATAACAGAAACTCATGTAAAATTACAGTTATAATAAGTGGTACACAAAAACCAAAGATACATGGTGGCTGTGAAGGCATTTAAGAAAAAATCTGATGTAGACAAGGAGATCAGAGATCAGATGGTTTCCTTGAAGAAATAGAAACTGAGCATCAAAGGGATGAGTGAGAGTCCAATAAAGAAGGATGAAAAGAGAGTTTTATTTGGAATACGGTGTGTGAAGTTCCTGTGGTGGGGAGATACAAGGGACTAAGAGAGTGAATGGAGAGTAGAGACTGGAAGGGGCCAGATCTTGTTGACTTGAAGAATTTGTGTTTTTCCTAAGAGTAGGAAGCAAGGTATCAAAATTGTGTTTTGAAAGTATATTTCTGGCTGAAGTACAGAAAGCAGATCACTGATTTCCAGTGAAGATTGTTACCAAGGTTCACAATTTGCATCAGACAGATAGCAATGAAGATGAAATATAGAAATAGAAAACTGAGAAGATTGCCAATCTCAAGAACAAAACATAACAAAGCATTGCAACCAAAATCTTCATAGGGTAGAAGCCACAGCCCTGCTTAGCTCTGAATCTTGGAACAGGCTTAGAGGCAGGAAACTCAGCTCCTTTGAGATAATATAGACATGCCACACAAGATGGGGTCAAAGCCAGATTTATTGTATAAAGCTGGAGTAAGTGAAATTCCACAAACTTGCAACACAGGCTGGGGTAAAAAAAAGACACCTTGTTACTGCTATTTGAGATATGGCACCTAAGTACATACAAGCCCCAGGAATGAAGACGGAATAAGTAGCCTCACAACTTGCCAGTGACTATATCTGTGGTAATCCTGATATAAACACAGGATTTGGGAATCAGGAAAGCAAGAAATCCCAAAACTTTTAGACAGAGAAAAGATAAGCATGGAGGAAGTTAACAAGAGAGAGAAGGAGATTCTCCCAGCTCTGGAAGAGGATGAGAGGCTGTAGGTCAGAGGAAGCAGGGAAAAGCGAGGTCCTCTCAGACTAGGGGCAAGTCATTTTGTTCTCCAGCAGAGAACTCACTTCCCAACTCTCAGCGCGAGAGCTCTTCCTTTTATTCTTTTTGTGGTTTATATTGAGCCCTGTTGTGTGGGAACACTTGCCTCAGGCATGGATCCTCCACTTTTGGAGCAACCAGACTTGTTGGCAATAAAGTGCTGTGGAACTTCGAAAGAGAAAGCTTTTTGATCTAACTGATCATTCCCTCATCAAATTTTTGTTCTTTGTGGTGTGTCCATGCCAATTATGTACCAGAATGCTGATTCAGTCAGGGCTTTACGAAAGCCATTCCAGTAAGAACAGAATGGACCTAGTGTGTGTATGGGGACATGGAGGGGATCAAAAGAAACAGTAAGCATTTGAGTGTTCTTAAAGCCTTGTGTAATGGAAGGAGAGGTATGGTAGGCTAGGCCAGGACCATATTTTGAAAGTCAGAAATGTATTTTTTTCTGCACATAGGGGAACTGGCTGTCCAGAGTATAGAAAGAGACTTTATTTTTATTACATATTCTTCTTAAGTTTTTTATTTGAAAGGCAGAGTGACAGAGAAGGAGAGAGAGAGAAAAAGGGATCTTCCAACTTTCTTCCCAAACGGCCGCAACAGCCGGGGCTGCCCAGACTAAAGCCAGGAGCCAGGAACTCCATCCTGGTCTCCCATGCCAGTGGCAGAGACTCAAGTGCTTGAACCATGATCTGCTACTTCCCAGGCACATTAGCAAAGAGCTGAATGGGAAACAGTGCTGAGACTCAAACCAGCACTCCAGTGTGGGATGCAGATGTCCCAAGTGGCGACTTAACTAGTTACACTAAACACATGTTCATTCTTTTGTTTTTTTTTTTGTTGTTGTTGTTGTTGTTTGTTTGTTTGTTTGTTTGTTTTGACAGGCAGAGTGGACAGTGAGAGACAGAGAGAAAGGTATTCCGTTGCCGTTGGTTCACCCTCCAATGGCCGCCACGGCTGGCGCGCTGCGGCTGGCATACCGCGCCTATCCGAAGGCAGGAGCCAGGTGCTTCTCCTGGTCTCCCATGGGGTGCAGGGCCCAAGCACTTGGGCCATCCTCCACTGCCTTCCCGGGCCACAGCAGAAAGCTGGACTGGAAAAGGGGCAACCGGGACAGAATCCGGTGCCCCGACTGGGACTAGAACCCGGTGTGCCGGCGGCGCAAGGCGGAGGATTAGCCTACTGAGCTGCGGCGCTGGCCTTACTTTGATTTTAACATATGTTGAGAGCTACAACTGTTCTACAAAGACATTAAATTTATATAGCCTATTTCCATGAACCCCAACTGCATTGATCTGAATATATTCTAGTTATTTAATTCATTGAATGTTTTTTGAGAGCCTCTTTCATAGATGTGTCAGAAGTACAAACCTGAAAGAAGCATAGTCCCTATCCTCAAGAGTTTTATATTCTTTAGGAGAAAATAAAAAAAGACAGTATTGTCTAAATGAAGACCGAATCTGATCAACATGTTTATTGTGCCAGTACCTCTGTGAACAGGAACTATAAGGAACATTTCTTAGATTTTCCTGTGGTTCAAACTAGTATTTTTGCCCAGTTGTTCAGAAACATTAAGCTTTTATAATATTTTCAGCTAATTTATTTATAATAGCACCAGCATCTGTTGTTTTTCTGAGTTTTAACTAACATTTAAGAATTTCACATATGCCAAAAACTTTTGACTGTCTTATATGCATTATCTCATTTAATCCCCACAACAGTCTTTTAAGGTGTTATTTTCATTTTACAGATGTAGAAACTGAGGGTCAGAGAAGTCAAGATACCCACCTAACATCAATTCAGAGATAGTAAGGGTCAGAATTGGTTTCTTGACCCCAGAGCCTGAGCCAAATAACACTTTGTTCTCTATCTCCATGGACCTTGCTAACTTCTACACATCAACTCTATTTAAACACAGAGAAACAGCATCAGTGAAAGTTATCAGTGGTTTTGTTTGTTTTAATTAGATATTGACACAATTTTGATATAGGAAATGCTGACAATCTGCCAAACAATTCCAAGCTTGTAAGAGTACTATCACCGTAGTTTTGTGTCTTTATTCATACGACTTTAGTTTGACTAATCCTCCCTAAGAAGTCTTCTGCAACCCATGCACATGCACACTGTTCACTCTGGGTGCTTGGCCCCTCCTGTGCATCCTCTTCTGTGGTGACACCAGTCACACATTGCAGTGATCTAAGCTCCTTGGTAGCAGGGACTAGTCTTTGTTTTAGAAATCTCAGCATCCAGCACAGTGTTTAGCGTGTGGTAGGTATACAGAAAAAATGTTAAATGAATGTTTAACTCCAAGCGTGTTTTCTGACTTAAGGAATGTTTGCTGACTCCCTTTAGTGTACGTTTTTGCACATAGCTATAGTAGTTTTTCACTAACTCACTGTTTACTGGTTGGGACTTCTGTTTGTTTCCTTTTCTAAATATGTTTTTTTTAAAAATTTATTTATTTATTTATTTGAAAGGCAAAGTTACAGAGAGAGAAAAAGATTTTCCATTTACTCGTTGACTCCCCAAATGGCCACAGTGACCAAGTCTAGGCCAGGTTACAGCCAAGAGCCTGGAACTCCATCCATGGTGTGAACATAGGTGGCAGGGGCCCAAGCACTTGAACCATCTTCTGTTGCTTTCCCAGGCGCATTAGTAGGGAGCTAGGTTGGAAGTGGAGCAGCCAAGACTCAGACCTGTGCTCATGTGGGATGCAGGGCTTTAGGGCCCTGGCCAAACCTGCCGTGCCACACGCTGGTCCTGAGACTTCTGTTTTCAGTACTGGCCGGATTTACTTGGTTTGTGCCCGTAGTTATTTTATACAGCTTTATATTCCTAACAACAAACACTAGATTTAAACATTGTTGTGGGGAGCAACTGGGAGCAACTCGGACTAGACTAAGTTACTGGAATTAAGACTTATTCTATGCATCTGCTCTCCCACAATATGGCGCTGGGAGAGGAGAAAACAGCTTCCACGCAGCTGCCTCTTGCCAACTTGAGTGCTGACCTCCAGGAGCTGATCCTGCTCCTGATTGGAGGAGAGCAGCGTACTCGGCGTGTGGGCAGCCGAGTTAGGATTGGCAGAGGAGGACTATAAAGGAGGAGAGAGACGGCATGCACCAGGAACATCTAAGAGGAACATCTAAGGGGAACACCTGTGCAGCCCCCAAGAGAGCCGGCCGGCGGTGTGCCGCTCCCCTGCGGAAGTGGGGAAAGTGGCCAGGGGGAACCGCCCTTCCACGGAGGTGGAAGGGTCAGTAGCCAACCCGGGAAGAACAAGCAGCAAACCCGGGGAGGGCCGAGCAGACAAAAGAACAGCGCAGGGTCCTGTGTCGTTCCTCCACGAAGAGGGGGAGCGACAATTGTAACTCCAGATAATAGAGCATTCCTAAGTATCCATCCCTAACCTGAAATCAGCCTTCCCTCTCCATCGCATAAGTCGGTAGACCAGCACCACCATCACATGTAAGAAGGCAAGAGAACCACACACTACCTGACCATCACTGTTTACTGATGGGGTGACCTTAGGTAAGATGAGCTTGCTTTTCTCATTTCTAAAGTAATAGTATGGGAGTGAGCATTTGTTGTGGTGTGTAAGATGCTAAGTTGTGACACTGGCATTCCACAAAGTACTTGGGCCCCTGCCACCTGCATGGAAGACCCAGAATAGGGTTTTCAGCTCCTGGCTTTGACAAGGTAAAGCCTGGCTGTTGTGAGCATTTGGGAAGTGAATCAATGGATTTTTTTTTCCTATACACGAATACCTATAATAAAGTTTAATTTATAAATTAGGCATGTAAAGATGAATGATAATAACCAATAGTAAAATAGAACAACTATAACAATATACTATAATGAAGTTGATATAAATGTGGTCTCCATCTCTTAAAATATCTTAATGTGGGCTGGTGCTGTGGCATAGTGGGTAAAACTGGACACTGGTTCAAGTGCCAGCTGCTCTATTTCTTCTGATCCAGCTCCCTGCTAATGCACCTGGGAAGGCAGTGGAAGATGGCCCAAGTGCTTGGGCCCCTGCACCCATATGGGAGATTGAGAAGAAGCTCCTGGCTCGTGGCTTCAGACCTGCCCAGCTCTGGCCTTTGCAGCCTTTTGGGGAGTGAATCAGCAGGTACAATGTGGGGAGCAGCTCGGACTGGACTAAGTTACTGGAATTAAGACTTATTCTATGCATCTGCTCTCCCACAATATGGCGCTGGGAGAGGAGAAAACAGCTTCTACCCAGCTGCCTCCAGTTCAACCAATAAACAGCAGGACTTGCTCCTGATTGGAGGAGAGCAGCGTACTCGGCGTGTGGGCAGCCGAGTTGGGATTGGCGGAGGAGGACTATAAAGGAGGAGAGAGACGGCATGCACCAGGGAACATCTAAGAGGAACATCTAAGGGGAACACCTGTGCTGCCCCCAAGAGAGCCGGCCGGCGGTGTGCCGCTCCCCTGCGGAAGTGGGGAATGTGGCCAGGGGGAACTGCCCTTCCACGGAGGTGGAAGGGATAGTAGCCAACCCGGGAAGAACCAGCAGCAAACCCGGGGAGGGCCGAGCAGACGAAAGAACAGCGCAGGGTCCTGTGTCGTTCCTCCACGAAGAGGGGGAGCGACAGTACAAGATCAATCTCTCTCTCTCTCTCTCTCTCTCTGTAACTCTGCCTTTCAAATAAATAAATCTTTAAGAAAAAAAAAACTTAATGTATTTTTACCTTTTCACTTAAAGAAAGCACTTTACAACTTGTGTTTGGCATGTCTGAATTGCCAGCAACACTACTTTTGCTCTTTAGGGCCATTGTTAAGTAAAATAAGCATTACTGGAACACAGCACTGTGATATCATGACAGTCAATCTGGTAACTGAGACAGCTACAAAGTGACTAATGGGTAAGTAGTGTGTACAGTATGTATATACTGGATAAAAGGATGATTCATGTCTCAGGCAGAAGGGAGCAGAACAGCATGAGATTTCATCACGCTGCTCAGAACAGTGTAGTTTTAAATTTATGAATTTTTTATTTCTGGAATTTTTCATTTATATTTTTGTACTACAGCTGACCACAGGTAGCTGAAAGCTCAGAAAGAGAGACTGCAGATAAAGAAGGACTACTGTAATTATGTTCATCACAGAAAACCCTAATTAAACTCTTTAATGTTGAGGCCATTTTTAGCTTTATTTTTTTTAAAGATTTATTTATATATTTGAAAGGCAGTTACAGAGAGAGAGGGAGAGGGAGAAGCAGAACCAGGGAGATATCTCCTGTCCATTGGTTCACTGCCCAAATGGCCACTACAGCCAGGACAAATCCAGGAACTCCATCTGGGTCTCTCAGATGTGTGGTAGTGCTCCATGCACTCAGGCCACCCTCCACTGCTTTCCCAGACACATTAGTGGGGAACTGGATCAAAAGCAGAGCAGCTAGGACTAGAATCAACACTCCCATATGGGATGCTGGCATCATAAGCAATGGCTTAACCCACTGTGCCACCGCACCACACCCTGTTTTACTGTCCCTTATCAAAACATTTGTATGATTTTTTTTTTCCTTCTACGATCATTTCTCTTGACTTCTATACTCAGTTGAATTACATTCCTTACAGCAGTGTTATTACTTTACTCTGGTTTTCCTTCTAGTTTATAGCCCATTAGTTTTTCCTGGAACCCTGCTTAAATGAGATAAAATCTTTAAATGTCTCTGTTATAGAAAATACATGCTAGACTTCAAATATTAACCAGCACAGGATTATGAAAGTTAAAAATTTATAAATGGTAAAGTTATTATCTAGTTTGTGGTGGTGATTAAAACCCATAGAACTGCATGCATGCATACACACACAAACTCATAAATGGACAAAATTGACTAAGTGTTACAAATCGAAGTTTTACTGACTAGAAGAAAGAACTTTGAATTTCTTCTAGAAAATGTATCTTTAAAATATAAATTGAGTCTCCATTAATTCTGAAAACATCTATAATCTTCCTTTCTCCACTAACAAAATGTATGTTCAGTGTTGATCATGAAGATACTTCATCTCATTCTCCACTTTGTTATATTTGATCCAGAAAATGAGGTAGAGTCATAATTCATATAAAATATATTGGAAATCAGATACATCTTGGTTTTTTTTTTTTATTTTTATTTTTTGATAGGCAGAGTGGACAGTGAGAGAGAGACAGAGAGAAAGGTCTTCCTTTGCCGTTGGTTCACCCTCCAATGGCCGCCACGGCCGGCACGCTGCGGCCGGCGCACCGCGCTGATCCGATGGCTGGAGCCAGGTACTTCTCCTGGTCTCCCATAGGGTGCAGGGCCCAAGTACTTGGGCCATCCTCCACTGCCTTCCCGGGCCACAGCAGAGAGCTGGCCTGGAAGAGGGGCAACCGGGACAGAATCCGGCGCCCCGACCGGGACTAGAACCCGGTGTGCTGGCGCCGCAAGGCGGAAGATTAGCCTAGTGAGCAGCAGTGCCAGCCGGTTGTTTTTTGTTTTTAACTTTTAGTTTGTAGTTAATGAGTCTTGATGGGCCCATAGAGCAGACTTTAGGGAGTCAGTAGAACTGGCAGGAATAGCAAGTATTCTAAAGGGCAGAATTTTGCAGGAAGAGGTCCACCCGGGTTGATAAGTGTCAATTATCTTGAAAAATCAACACATGTAACTAACTAGAAATACTTAAAATGTTGTCCAATTTAGAGAGAACAGGGCACCCAGCTTCCTAATGCAGACCTTTAAAGCATGAGCAACAAATGAGTAAATTAAAAATGGATGATGTTGAAAAAGGCAAGAAGATTTTTGTTCAGAAATGTGCCCAGTGCTATACTGTGGAAAAGGGAGGCAAGCACAAGACCGGACCAAATCTCAGTGATTTGTTTGGGCAGAAGACAAGTTCAGGCCATTGGGTTCTTTTACACAGCTGCCAACAAGAACAAAGGTGTCACCTGGGACAGAACACTCTGCTGGAGTATTTGGAGAATCCCAAGAAATACATCCCTGGAACCAAAATGATCTTTGCTGGCATTAAGAGGAATGAAAGGACAGACTTGATAGCTTATCTCAACTATTACTACTAATGAGTAATAGTTGGCCACTGCCTTATTTATTACAAAACAGGAATGTCTTGTGACTTTTTTATATGCATCATAATTTAATTCTCATATGCAAGAATTCAGATCATGAATGGCTGACAGAATATTTTTGACAGTCCTGATTTGAGTAAGATTGCCATGTGTGGTTATATAAATATGATTGGGTTTGTTGAAATATTGGCGGTAGTTCCAGTTCAGTAAATGCCCTCACTGTTTTCCTCTTAAGGATATGAATAAACTTAATTAATAATGTTCAACTTTTTGCAAAAATTTTGAATGCCATCTGAAAATCTGTCAGGAGATTGGATTTATATTTAAATACTGGGGAAATCTCTTCACTGTCTCAGAACTGAGTAGGACTCACTTATGTTCCAGTTTGTGTTCTTCACCTGCTAAAGGCAAGAGCTGAAGATAGGTAGAAATATGGACTTAGTACTTCTGGTCTTAGCTTTGCCAATCTAATTAGAATTTCCTGTACCTAAACTGCTGCCTTTTATTTATTAAAAGGCATTTGGTGTGATTTATGTATATCCAGTAAAGAATATTTAACACCCCTCACATTTTATAGGTGATCTAAAAGATCAGGTGCTTTGCAAGTAATCATGACCAGATAGAGTAATAAGTTTTACTTGTGACTTCTTTTACTACCTTAGACTAAGTTATAATTCAGGATTGTCTATAAACAGCTATTTGGAAACACATAAAATTGAGGAACTACTGTATATTTGTGTTCAGTAGTGGTGCTTTTGCCAACTCATTGAAAGGACTAAATCAGAAGAGATAAACTATCAGCACAAAATTTCTAAATACGTGATTACAAGACTTAAGATAATTAAAAAAATTACAGATCATGAAAAACAGTGTTGCCCAATTTAGATATTAGATAAGCAAATTAATTTAGATTTCTAGACTATGAAGTTACAGCTGCTGAGCTTTTGAAAAAAAGAACAAAACAATTTCCTCCAGTTTTCTTTAGTAAAGCAAGTCGACAGGCAGAGTGGATAGTGAGAGAGAGAGACAGAGAGAAAGGTCTTCCTTTGCGTTGGTTCACCCTCCAATGGCCGCCACAGCTGGCGCGCTGTGGCGTACCGCGCCTATCCGAAGGCAGGAGCCAGGTGCTTCTCCTGGTCTCCCATGGGGTGCAGGGCCCAAGCACTTGGGCCATCTTCCACTGCACTCCCGGGCCACAGCAGAGGGCTGGCCTGGAAGAGGGGCAACCGGGAAAGAATCCGGCGCCCTGACTGGGTCTAGATCCCAGTGTGCCGGCACCGCTAGGTGGAGGATTAGCCTAGTGAGCCGCGGCGCCGGCCTATTATTCTTTTTGTTCTTTGAGGCTTTCTTATTTTCAGGTTTTCTAAAATAAATACAAACTACTTTAATAATAATATTTAAAAATGTCAGTAACACCAAGAATTTGTTTTATATCATCTTATCTAAATAAATAAGGTGTTCTTCAAAGAATACTTTGGGAAGCAAAGATGGTACTGAGATCTAAGAGTGGGAGCATGACAAAAGCTAAAATAACAGGCTCTTTATTATTTTGGGGAAGATTTATGTACTATTTATTTTAATGATTAGCTATTCATAAAACAACATACATAATAAAATTGTAAGACTTTACTCCAGAATAACGTCCCATGCATTAATTCAATTATATGATCATAAATTTTCTCAGAAGCCCCAAATATTGTGCCATTTTTATTAAGATTTTGTTTTCTAGAATTAAATGTCTCGTTGCTTCTTTTTAGAAGGATGTATTATTAGTAGACAAATGCAGAGGTTGTGAGGTTCTATAATTTTTTTTTTTTTTTTCTGATTTGTATCTAGTAACAGGCAAGAATAGACATGCTTTTCTAAAATAGGACTTTTAAGTAGCTGGGTGCCTAGAGTTTCTTTTTCTTTATTTTTAAGATTATTTATTTATTTGAAAGTTAGGATTATATATATATAGAGAGAGATCTTCTATCTGCTGGTTCAATCCCCAGATGGCTGCTACTGCCAGAGCTGGGCCAGGCTGAAGCCAGGAGCCAGGAGTTTCATCTGGGTCTCCCATGTGGGTGTCAGGGGCCCAAACATTTGAGTCATCTTCTGCTGCTTTTCCCAGGCCATTAGCAGGGACCTGGATCTGAAGTGGAGCAACTGAGACATAAACTGGTGCACATACAGGATGCCAGCATCGTGGGTAGTGGCTTTACCCACTGCACCACAGCTGAGTGCTTTTAGAGTGCACCGAAGATTGAAGAGCACTGGATTTTTGTTTCTTTCTCTGCTGCATGAAATGTTTATTAAGTAAAGATTGGAAAAAATAAGTTTAGGTTAGACTCTGATGTAAGGTGCAGTTTTCAGCTCTGTTGTAACCTCCCTTTATGCTCATGGGTGGTTTCTTGTCCATTTTGAGCCTCAGTATCCTTATTTGTAAAATGAGGACACCAGATGTAAAATCTCTAAACATTCTTTCGACTCTAAAAACTTCGTGATTCAAGCAGGTTCCCTGAGAAGAGCAATGCATTACGTCCGAAAGAGGATGCTTTGGTATTTCTCAAGGCTTTAGCATTTTTTTTTTAAGTTTTATTTTATTTATTTGAAAGAGTTACAGAGAGAGAAAGAAGGAGAAACAGAGAGAGATCTTCCATCCTCTGGTTCACTCCCCAGATGGCCACAACCAGGGATGGTGGGAGGCACATTAGCAGGGAGCTAGATCAGAAGTGGAGCAGCCAGGACTCCAGCTGGCGCCCATGTAGGATGTCACAGGCAGCAGCTTAACCCATTATGCCACAACTGCAGGTTTCTTAGCATTTTCTCAAAGGGAAACTGAACACAGAATCTGAGCTTATTTTGTACCTTCAGACTCTTGAGAAATAGTGTCTGATTCCTTATTTATTTAGATAAGATGATATAAAACAAATTCTTGGTGTTACTGACATTTTTAAATATTATTATTAAAGTAGTTTGTATTTATTTTAGAAAACCTGAAAATAAGAAAGCCTCAAAGACAAAAATTAAAATTCTACATGTTGTGGGTGTTGTGATGCAACAGATTAACCCACTGCTTAGGACACCTACCTCCCATATCAGAGTGCCTGGTTGGAGTCCCAGCCGCTCTGCACTTTCCAGGCAGCTTCCTGCTAATGTCCCTGGGACACAGGGACACATGGATAATAGCCCAAGTACTTGGGTCCCTGCCAACCACATGGGAGATCCAGATGGAGTTCCCGGCTCCTTGCTTCAACCTGGCCTAACTCTGGCTGTGGTAGATATTTGAGGAGTGAACCAGTGGATGGAAGATGTATCTGTTTCTCCCTCTCTTTGTCACTCTGCCTTCCAAGTAAGTGAATAAATCTTTTTAAAAATAATAATCCACACAAAACAAAATTTAGCCAGTTTTAACATTTTGTTATTTTTTATTCTTTTGAGTCTCATTCAATTTTTTCCCATTGAGAAAAAACATACATATCCAGCCTAATGAGACCTTTCTCATAATATTAAATGTCTTTTTTTAAAAAGATTTATTTATTTATTTGAAAGAGTTACACCAAGAGAGGAGAGGCATAGAGAAAGAGAGAGAGAGAGAGGTCTTCCGTCCGATGGTTCACTCCCCAATTGGCCACGATGGCCAGAGCTGCATCGATCTGAAGCCAGGAGCCAGGAGCTTCTTCCAGGTATCCCATATGGGTGCAGGGGCCCAAGGTCTTGGGCCACCTTCTACTGCTATCCCAGGCCATAGCAGAGAGCTGGATCGGAAGTGGAGCAGCCGGCGCTAGAACTGGAGCCCCTATGGGATGCTGGCGCTTCAGGCCAGGGCGTTAACCCACTGCGCCACAGCGCTGGCCCCTATTAAATGTGTTTTGGAAACCATTTTTAATGACAATATAGTCATTTTTCCAAAATTGTTTATTATTATGATTATCAATTAGAAAGAGAGGCAGACGGAGGATCTTCCATCCACTGGTGCAATCCCCAAATGTTTACAACAGCCAGGGGTGGGCCAGGCCAAAGCCAGAAGCCAGGAACTCCATCCAGATTTCCCACGTGGTGGCAACGACCCAATTGCTTTAGTCATCGTCTGCTACCTCTTAGTGTGCACATTAACAGGAAACTGGATAAAAAGCGAAATAGCGGCCAGTACCGCGGCTCACTAGGCTACTCCTCTGCCTGTGGTGCTGGCATCCCTGGTTCTAGTCCTGGTTGGGGTGCCAGATTCTGTCCTGGTTGCTCCTCTTCCAGTCGAGCTCTCTGCTGTGGCCCAGGAAGGCAGTGGAGGATAGCCCAGGTGCTTGGGCCCCTGCACCTGCATAGGAGACCAGGAGAAGCACCTGGTTCCTGGCTTCGGATCGGTGCAACTCCAGCCGTAGCAGCCATTTGGGGGGTGAACCAACGGAATGAAGACCTTTCTCTCTGTCTCTCTCTCACTAACTCTGCCTGTCAAAAAAAAAAAAAAAAGCGAAGTAGCTGGGACTCCAGCCAGGCACTCCAATATGAGATGCAGTTGTCCCAAACAACAACTTAACTGCTGCGTCAAGCTCCTACCCCTGTTGCCAGTTTTTGACTTGAAACCAATGCCTGTGAGGGATATCTTATATGTAAATCTTATATATAAATATGTTTGAATTTCTGAGTCAAAAACTGTAAACAAGGGCAGGAGTTGTGGTGTAGCAGGCCAAGCCACTGCTTGGGGCATCTGCATTCCATATGACAGTGCCTAGAGCGAGTTCTACCTCCACGTCCCATCCAACTTTCTGCTAATGCACATCCTGGGAGGCATCAGGTGGTGGCTCAAGCACTTGGGTCCCTGCCACCCATGTGGGAGACACAGGTGGACCTGGGTCCCTGGCTCCTGGCTTCAGCCTGGATGTTGTAGGCTTCTGGCAAGTGAACCAGCCAATAAAAGACCTTTCTTTCTCTTGTTTGGCTTTTCAAATAAATAAAAATAAATTTATTAAAAAACTAACATTTTAACGTCCTTAATACATTTTATTAAATTGATTTCCTAGAATGTACTAATTTACAATCAGTATTTTCTTATGAGCTTGCAGTATAATCATTTTAATCTCTGAGGTAAGTCAAAAGAAAAGCTTATCTTTTTTAAACTAATAACCACCTTTATTATTTTTGTACATGTTTATTTTCATTATTTGAAAGGTAGCACAACAGAGAGAAAGAAAGAAAGATCTTCCATCGTCTGGTTCACTCCCCAAGTGACTGCAACTGCCAGGGCCTGGGTAGGCCAAAGCCAGGAGCCCAGTACTCCACCTGAGTCTCCAATATGGATGGCACAGGCCCAAGTACTTGGGCCATCATCTTCTGCCTTCCCAGGATACATTAGCAGGGAACTAGATCAGAAGCAGAGCAGCCAGGATTCAAATCAGCAATTGGATCTGGGATGCTATGCCACAGTGCCCACCCCACCACCTTTATTATTGTTTAGACAGTTTTATTGAGATACAACTCATAAACCATAAAATTTACTCAAAGTACACATTTTTGTTGGTTTTCAGTATATTCATAGAGTTGTGCAACCATCACCTCAATCACTTTTATAACATTTTTATCATATTAAAAACAGTCCCGGCCGGCGCCGCGGCTCACTAGGCTAATCCTCTACCTAGTGGCGCCGGCACACCAGGTTCTAGTCCCAGTCGGGGTGCTGGATTCTTTCCCGGTTGCCCCTCTTCCAGGCTAGCTCTCTGCTGTGGCCTGGGGAAGGCAGTGGAGGATGGCCCAAGTGCTTGGGCCCTGCACCCCATGGGAGACCAGGAGAAGCACCTGGCTCCTGCCATCGGATCAGCGCGGTGCACCGGCCACAGCGCGCCAGCCGTGGCGGCCATTGGAGGGTGAACCAACAGCAAAAGGAAGACCTTTCTCTCTGTCTCTTTCTCTCACTATCCACTCTGCCTGTCAAAAAAACAAACAAACAACAACAACAAAAAAAAACAGTCCCGTGACCAGTATCATGGCATGGTAGGCTAAGCCTCCGCCTGCAGTGCCGGCATCCCATATGGGTGCCAGTTTGAGACCCAGCTGCTTCAGCTCTCTGTTTATGGTCTGGGAAAGCAGTGGAAGATTCCCAAGTGCTTGGGCCCCTGCACCCATGTGGGAGACCCAGAAGAAGCTTCTGGCTTCGGATTGGTCCAGCTCCAGCTGTTGCAGCCATTTGGAGAGTGAACCAGTGGATGGAAGACCTTTCTCTCCCTCTCTCTGTAACTCTGCCTCTCAGATAAATAAATAAAATCTTTTAAAAAGAGCCCCCATACTTATTAGCCATGACTCATCTTTTCCCCCAAACTCCTCCTATCCCGCAGCAGTCACTGATCTACTTAAAGATTACTCGATCCTGAGCATTTCCTATATGGATCACACAGTATGTGGCCTTTTGTGTCTGGCTTCTTTCACTTAGCATAATATTTTTAAGGTTCATTCATGTTATACATACTTACATCAGTACTTCCTTTCCTTTTTCACTAAATATTTCATTGTATAACTCAGAATTCCCATATATTTGGTATAATTTATCCACTCATCAGTTGGGTTCTCCCTCTTTGGCTATTGTGAATAATTTAGCTATGAACATTTGTGTACATGTTTTTTTATGGACATGTGTTTTAATTTCTCATGGGTATACTCATATTAAAAATGGAATTAAAAGAGAAGTGTATGCTAGTACAAAATTTTTTAAATTCATATGTAGTTTTTTCAACGTGCATTTTCCATAAAATTTTTGAAGACCTTCTCATGTGTAGATTTCAAATAATTCTTGCACCAAAATAAACATATTTTAATTCCATTTTTCCACGAACACCTTGACACCCCCTCATGTGTATTTGCAAGAGTAGAATTGATGGGTTATATGGCAACTCTTTAACCTTTTGAGGAACTGCCAAACTCTTCCAAAAGGGCCATACCACGTTACTTTCCCACCAGCAATGTAAGAGCTTTCCTATTTCTCCATACACTTGCTAACATGTGTTACCTGTATTACCTACATAGTCATCATGATAGTGTGAAGTGTTATCTCAAGTAGTTTTGATTTGCAAGAGTTCTTGATGTATTTTGAATACCAGACCTTTAACAGATATAACTTGTGAAATTTCCCTCCTGTTCTGTGGATATCTTTTCACTTTCTTGAAGGGGTCCTTTGAAGCACAAAAGATTTTAGTTTTGATATTGTCCAATCTATCTGGCTTTCATTTATTACATTGCCCAATCCATGTTCACAAAGATATATACCTTTTTTTCTGTAAGAATTTTATAGTTTTTTTTTTTAGCTGTTTGAGCTGATTTTGGTATACAGTATGAGATATGAGTCCAACTTCATATGGCTACCCAGTTGTCCTAGTGCTGAGAACATTTTAATATCCCTGATTAATTTACGGCAAATTATCTTTCATCTTGGCTGCTGACATGGCCATCCAGACTAAAAAAGACCCAGAAACTTCCCTGCCACATGAGTCACAGCCAGAGGGCAAGCACCAAAGGCACCCAGGAGGCTGGATCGCAGGCATCACTACAGGATCAACTTTGACAAATATCACGCAGGCTACTTTGGGAAAGTTGATATGAAGTGTTTCAACTTAAAGAGGAAGCAGAACTTCTGCCCTGCTGTCAGCCTTGATGAATTATGGACCTTGGTCAGCAAGCAGACACCGGGAAATGCCACTCCCATCGTTGATGTGCTGTGGTCAGGCTGCCTGGGGAGGGAGAGCTCCCAGAGCAGCCGTCATCACGAAGGCTAAGTTACTCAGCAGAAGGCTGAGGGGAAGATTAAGGCAATGGGAGCGGTTAGGGGAGAGGGGCCTGTGTCTTGATGACTTGATGCCACATGGTTCATTAAATGCTAACAAATGCTTTAAAATTTTTTTTTTTACACTGGAAAATTTTTTTTCCTTTTTTTTAAATCTTTTTTTTTTTTTTTTTTTTTGACAGGCAGAGTAGACAGAGAGAGAGAGAGAAAGGTCTTCCTTTGCCGTTGGTTCACCCTCCAATGGCCGGCACACCGCGCTGATCTGAAGGCAGCAGCCAGGTGCTTCTCTTGGTCTTCCGTGGGGTGCAGGGCCCAAGCACTTGGGCCATCCTCCACTGCCTTCCCCGGGCCACAGCAGAGAGCTGGACTGGAAGAGGGGCAACCGGGACAGAATCTGGCGCCCCGACTGGGACTAGAACTCGGTGTGCCGGCACCGCAGGCGGAGGATTAGCCTATTGAGCCACGGTGCTGGCCTTATACTGGCAAATTTCTGTATGCCTTCTTAATGTTTGCTTGTATCAAATACATCTTCTCTATTGTCTAGAGAGCAGAGGTGTCAGTTTCATGGAAACATTGCAAGAAAAACTTCCCAAGTGGTAGTTTTCCACATGGACTCTTGTGTGTTTTTTTCCCCACAAGGCAAGAAATGACTAGAGAAAAAATTCTTAGATTTAGAAGATTTTACACATCTGTTTGTCTAAATTCCCTTCCACCTCCATTTTCATTGGCTACTTTCTTCTGTGTCTGTGTCTGTCCTGCTGTCTTCTTTGAGGTCATTGGATTTTGTACCCACCTTGGCAATCCAGGTTGATATTAGTTCAGGGATCCTTGACTTGATTACATCTGAAGAGATCCTTTTTCCAAAAAAGATCACATTTACAGGTTCATAGCATTAGGACATGAACATATCTTTTTGAGGGCCAGCATGCTACCCACTATACCACCATCTCCCCTATCTCGCTGCACTTTTTGCCAGGTTTACTTTATAACGCCCCTGATAGCGAGTTGAAGAGTTTGCTGTCATGGCATATTGATTATTTTACATGGCCATACATTCTTTTTATGAGCAGCTCTAAAGCTTAAAAATTATTCCTGCTATTGTGCCAAAACCTGTCATGAGATACTTGACAGTACATTTCCAGGTCTCTCCTACACAGTTATAGGGGATAAGAAAGATGGGTGCCATGGTTTATCTGGTTGAGGATTAACACATGCAATGCCTCTCCAGTGCCTCTCTATTATTCTGATACTGCATTCTAAACAAAATGATATCTTCAAAGATCAATAAGATAAGAAGAAGGGGGAGTGTATTGATATGAATATGGCGGTTAGAGACATTTATAGTGACAGCAGGTGGAGGTCAGTATCCTACTGTGACTGTAGGGTGGATGTGTGTGCAAATGTATGTGTGTGAGGGTACAACAGCAGGGGCCCTGGAGGTAGTCTAACAAGTCATGTCACTCCTTGGCTTCTCACAGCTGTGCAACTTTTCTAAGTTGATGTTATAATATTCAAGATTCATATTCCTTTTTGAAAATCACAATAATGTGTTTTTATCTCCAGACTTTCATTCTCCCCATTCTCTCTTCTTCAAGTGGTAATCTGTATTTGTTTGCATGGTTATACATGCAAATTCTTGGTCTCTTGGGTGAAATTCATTCAGAAATATCAAAGTGAACTCTGAAGTAACTGTCTTTCATTCATTTCACTTGTACTTCTTTTTGCGTTCAATCTTTTCTCAAATATTTCCAACTTGAGCATCACTTTGAACATTTTTTATTAGTTGACTTTGCTTAGTATTACACTAACTTCTCTAAACAAATAAAAAAACTTGAGGCTAGTCACTAAACCTGACCACATGAACAATGAAGATTAAAGGATGCCAGACTCAGAGGCCTCACTAAAGACAAGCACCAGAGACATCCCTAGAGGAACTGTGTTCACCAACATGCAAGCTATAGAGACATTATTCATTAAGAATTCATGCCTGAATTCCAGTCTTTGGAAAGGATGTCCTCAAAAATTGGCATATATCCAGCAGTAATACAGATTTATTTTTTTTTAAGATTTATTTATTTATATGAAAGAGTTACACAGAGAAGGAGAATCAGAGAGAGAGAAGGCTTCCATCTGCTGGTTCACTCCTCAATTGACCGCAACAGCTGGAGCTGTGCTGATCCGAAGCCAGGAGCCAGGAGCTTCTGCCTGGTCTCCCACATCGGTACAGGGGCCCAAGGACTTGGGCCATCTTCTACTGCTTTCCCAGGCCACAGCAGAGAGCTGGATTGGAAGTGGAGCAGCTGGAACTCGAACCAGCGCCCATGTGGAATGCTGGCACTGCAGGTGGCGGCTTTTCCTGCTATGCCACAGTGCCGGCCCCAGTAATACAGACTTATTTTAAAAAACTTCAGACCAAAACTCAAGAAATAAAAACCACAAGTGGAGCCCGTGCTGTGGCATAGTGGGTTAAGCCGCCGCCTGCAGTGCCAGCATCCTGTGTGGGTACCGGTTCGAGTCCTGGCTGTTCCACTTCCAATCCAGCTCTCTGCTATGGCCTGGGAAAGCAGTAGAAGTTGGCCTAAGTCCTCGGGCTCCTTATCCACATGGGAAAGCCAGAAGAAGTTCCTGGCTTCTGTCTTTGGATTGGCCCCAGCTCTGGCCAGTGCAGCCAACTGGGGAGTGAACCAACAGATGGAAGACCTCTCTCTCTCCCTCTCTTCTCCCTTCTTCCCTCCCTCCCTCCCTCCCTGCATCCATCCCTCTCTCTCTCTCTCTGCTTCTCCTTCTCTCTTCTCCCTCTGTGTAACTCTGACTTTCAAATAAATAAATCTTAAAAAAAAAAAAAAAAAAAGCACACAAGCATTTTCAGTAAAATCAGCAAAAAGTCAGCAATAGCAATTACCTTAGGGAGAAGTCTGAAGAAAATTAGGCATACCACCCAGATCTGCTAATGGGGACCAGTCTTGTTTCCCTGATTTCTATAAATCATCTGATATCTTCAGCCCAAGTTAGCATATTCTAATTTCAGGATCTCTAAAAACCACTATGTATAAATTAGCCTATTATGGTACTGCTAAAACCCTGACATATATTGGCTCTTCCCCATTTTGGACCCTGAAGTTCTTTTCCCAAGTTGAAGTTCTAATTCTTTGATTTCTTCACCTCTATGTAGAATTTACAGTTCTGACCTGTAAGAAAGAATAAAATGGTCATTGAGGGTAGGGAAAAAAATGTTATCTCATGCTTGGCCTTTGTTTGTATTGGGTTTTCATGTGTCCTCTAATAAATGCATCTCCAGTGGGTTTTTTTTTTCCTCTTATGGCTGTTTCCCTCTGTCTTTCCCTCATCAGATTCGATTATATTATAATTTTGTTCTTAAAACCTTACATTCCATCTGTCTTGGATTAAACTCTCCCTTTTTTAAAACAACTTTATGCATTTAATGAATACAAATTGGGAACATGGTGATTCTTCCTTCCCCCACCTCTCACCCATACTGCCTCCTTCCTTTCCCATTGTTCAAAAGTCTCTCCTCTACTGCACCAGAACACCAGCCTCACATTCCTTCATAGTGATGGTTATCTTACTGTGTTTCTGTGTGGAGCACATCCTTAACCATCTTTTGTTAGGCTGGATGAGTGAAGACAAATTCTTTTCATTTCTGTTTGTTATGGAAGGTCTTTATTTCACCTTCATTCATAAATGAGAGCTTTGCAGGTTACAGTATCTGAGTTGATGGGTTTCTCTCTCTCTCTCTTAAAGTTTTATTTATTGATTTGAAATTCAGAGTTACACAGAGAGAAAGAGGCAGAGAGAGAGTGGGGTGGGGGGGTCTTCCATCCACTGGTTCACTCCCCAATTGGTTTCAATGGCCAAAACCGAGCTGATCCGAAGCCAGGAGCTGGGAGCTTCTTCCAGGTCTCCCACGCGGGCACAGGAGCCCAAGCACTTGAGCCATCTTCTACTGCTTTCCCAGGCCATAGTAGAGAGCTACATCAGAAGTGGAGCAGCCGGGGCTCAAACTGGTGGTCATATGGGATGCCGGCACTGTAGGCGGCGGCTTTACCCGCTGCGCCACTGCGCCGGCCCCAGTTTTTTTTTCTCTTAAGATTTGGACTATATCATGCCATTCTCTCCTAGCCTGTGGGGTTTCTGATGGGGAGTCAGCTGTAAGTCTAATTGGAGATCCTCTGAAAGTAATCTGGCATTTCTCTTGTGCACATTTGAGAATCTTTTCTTTATGTTTTACCATGGTGAGTTTGACTGCATTGTGTTGTGGTGAAGATCTTTTTTGGTCCTGTCTATTAGGAGTTCTGTGTGCTTCCTCTACTTGGACGTCCCTTTCTTTCTCCAAATTAGGAAAGTTTTCTGTAATTATTTCATTAAAAAGGCCTTCTAGTCCCTTCTCTCTTTCCACACCTTTAAGCACTCCTAAGACCCGTATATTGGGTCGTTTGGTAGTATCCCACAGATCTCCAACAATGTGTTTAGTTTTTTTAATTTCTTTCTTTCTTTCTTTCTTTTTTTTTTTTTTTTTTTGGTCTGACTATAAGATTTCCAGAGATTTGTCCTCTAACTCAGGTATTCTTTCTTCTGCCTCACCAACTCTGTTGTTAAGGCTTTCCTCTGCATTTTTTATTTAATCTATTGAATTCTTCATTTCTAATATTTCATTTTTATTTTTCTTCAAAATCTCAATTTCATGGGAAAAATTTTCATTCATGTCATGTATGGATTTCTTTGGTTCATGGATTTGCTTCTGATTGCTTTTGAGTAATCCTGTTTAATTTTTTTAATTCTGTTTCCAGCATTTCCTCAATCTCTTCATCTTCACCTTCTAATATTGTGTCTTCCTTATCCTTGTTTCTTAAATTTCTGCATTTATTTTTAGACATTTGTGGAATTTTTTTTCCTCTGATGGCTTTTATCTTTGAGCTGTGCCTCTGTGGCTAGAGGAATGTCTGTACTCTCAGTGGATACCAAGAGGTGTGTGGTGAATGTGGCCAGGGAGGTCTGGTCAGTGCTCCAGGATGGGGTGAGTACCCAGAGTAATACTCAAGTTGGACATGGTGACTCTTCTCTGGTTAACTGGATGGAGAGAAATGTTTTCCTCTGTTGGTGCAAACACCCCTTCTCCTGCAATCTGAGGAGTGCCCAGGTGTTAGCAACCAGTGTGTTCAATGTTCTTCCACACTGCCCTGTAAACTGTGCAGTCCTTCCTGTGGGCACGATTCCCTCTCATGTGAGCTGCTCTAGGCAACCAAGGAGCTCTGAGAGTGCAGCAGCACTCTGTGATTGCCCAGAACCCAGCTACACCATGCCTCCTTGCACACAGTCAGAGTGTTTATTCAGTCTCAGCACCCAGTGCTCTCAGGGTCAAGGAGTACAAGTGGCCACTCTGCCCTGCTAGCCTATCCTGTCTGCAGGGAGACTGAGGTATTCCCAGAGCTGCTGTCCATGTGTGTTCCTGCCCACTGGATGGAGTCCAGTTCTCCAACCAGATTCAAAGTCAGTGGGGAACGTGAGTTTTTCTCTCTGCTAAGATCTCTGGATCACAGGCACACACAGAACCCGCCAGCCACAGCCTCATTTGCCTCATAATTGTGCTGGGTACATAGGAGAGTCCCAGAGGCAGCACTTCCCTTCCATAGGGATGGCTTCCCCCTCCCCACCTGTTCCCTGGTGGGTGTAGCTGGTGTGGTGAAGATCATCCCCATCAGTTGTCAGTTGCTCTTTTTTTTTTTTTTTTAATTTGGAGCTCAAAGACTTATTTATTTATTTATTTTTCCCAAAGAAACTTTATTTAAGGAATACAAACCTCATGCATTTCCTGAATACAACTTTAGGAACACAGTGATTCTTCCCACCATACCTGCCTTCCTACCCCTCTTCCTCTTCCCTCTTCTATTCCCAGTCTTATTTTTTATTAAGATCTATTTTCAGTTAACTTTATACACATAAAATTAACTCTATACTAAGAATTCAACAAGTTGTATGAAAAAAAGCGGTTCCTTAACAGTCAAGACAAGGGCTGTTCAAAGTCATTGCATCTTGAAGTTGATTTCACTTTTTTTTTTTTTTTGAGAAACTTAATTAAATTTTTTTTAGATTTATTTTATTATATTTCAAAGACAGAGTTACAGAGAGGTAGAAACAGAGAGAAAGGTCTTCCATCTGCTGGTTTACTCCCCAGATGGCCGCAACAGCCGGAGCTGTGCCAATCCAAAGCCAAGAGCCAGGAGCTTCTTCTGGGTCTCCCACGCGGGTGTGGGGGCCCAAGGACTTGAGCCATCTTCTACTGGCTTGCCAGGCCATAGCAGAGAGCTGGATTGGAAGAGGAGCAGCTGGGACTAGAACCAGCGCCCATATGGGATGCCTGTGCTTCAGGCCAGGGCTTTAACCCACTGCGTCACAGTGCCAGCCCTGAGAAACTTAATTAACCTTAAAGAAGAACCCAAGAATGATACATCATTTGCTAGCACTTACACATAACTATAACTTATGAGACATAAGATTATCTTCCACTTAATACACTAAAACAAGTAAATCTTTGAGAACAAGTTTTACTGTTAACTTTCATAATCCAACTCTTTGAGGACAGAGGTCCTGCATGGGAAGTTAGTGCACAGTGACTCTTGTTAATTTAACAATTAACATTCTTACCTGAGGTTCTTGACATGAGCTGCCTAGGCTATGGAAGCCTTTTGAATCCACAAACTCCTTCAGTATTTAGACAAGGCCATAAGCAAAATAGAAGTTCTCTCCTCCCTTTAGAGAAAAGTACCTCCTCCTCCTTTGATGACCACATCAATTGATCTTGAACTGCTGTGGTTGCCCCTGCTGACTGGGTGGAGGTTGACCCTGACAGTTGCTGGGTGTGTGCACAAGAGCTGGAATAGCTGCTACCTGCTTATGTCCAAAAATGGCGCCAGCCCTCCCACCACTGGCTGCAGGTCACTGTTGTAGGGGAGGGAGGGGGAGAGAGAGGGTTGTACCACTTTTTTCCCCCACTCTGGGTGAGCAGTTGCCCCGCTGCCCTGAGGGATCTGGGCCAGACTCAAAAGTGGTGCAGGTCACTAAGCTCTCCCTCCAGCTGCATCAACAGCAGCGCAGGCCTGTGCAGTCCAGTCTCACCTGGTTTGCCAGGACGGGCATTTTTTCCTGGCTCCAAGCTGCTGCGACCTTTGTTGTTTCATTGCTCCTCGCTGTGTGCCTGCACCTTCCACACAGGTCTGGGCCTGTGCTTTCTAGGGCTTTCGCAGGACCTCCCATTGCAGTTTGCCCTGCAGCTTCACCCTGAGAGTGGACTTTCTCACCTTTTTTTTTTTTTTTTTACATTAATTTCACCACCAGCCTAAATTAGACCACTCTTCACTATTCTACCATCTTGGAACCCCTGATTAAACTCTGTTTTATAGTTTCTGACTTGGATTATACCTCTGAACACTGAAATTCAGTCTCTTAGAGTCGAGGGTTTTCCCATGCCAAATGTTTCCTTCCTTTGCTGTTACAAGCACACTCAATTCTTTTCAAGCTCGTGTCGTTCCTTCATCACCTATAGTGTCCTCCTTGTCAGTCATTAGAAATAAAATTGTCAATATGGAAACAGTTTAACAGGTGCTCTACTTTTACCAGAACAAAACTTCTCCCTCATGGGTGGCAAGGTGATGTCTCCCAGTACTCCTCTATGTTGTGTCTGTATCCCTTTATCAGGAAGTCTCACTGTGGTTTAGCCACAACAGTATCACTGGAGTTGAACTACCTTTCTAGTGTCATGACCTTTGCCTCCGTGAGTTAACCTTCCAGGTTTACTTTTCTCATTATCCATATTCTAGAGATTGGTATTAGGAATGAGGCCATTAGCTTGCTTTCTTCCTACTTGAGTTTTTGTAGTAAATTATTGGGAGACTGTACTAATGTTGGCATCGCACCAGCACCTCTGTGTGGCAGTTCTGCTCATTTTTAGGTAATCTTACAAGACTTCAAACTCTACCCTGTTTTTGACTTTATTTTAAAAAAAATTTTTTTTTGATAGGCAGAGTGGACAGTGAGTGAGAGAGAGACAGAGAGAAAGGTCTTCCTTTTTCCGTTGGTTCACCCCCCAATGGCCGCTGCAGCCAGCATGCTGCACACCATGCTGATCCGAAGCCAGGAGCCAGGTGCCTCTCCTGGTCTCCCATGCAGGTGCAGGGACCAAGGACTTGGGCAATCCTCCACTGCCCTCCCGGGCCACAGCAGAGAGCTGGCCTGGAAGAGGGGCAACTGGGACAGAATCTGGTGCCCCGACCAGGACTAGAATTTATTTATTTATTTGAGAGGTAGAGTTACAGACAGTGAGAGGGAGAGACAGAGAGGAAAGTCTTCCGTCCATTGGTTCACTCCCCAAATGGCCACAACAGCTGCAGCTGCGCCAGTCCGAAGCCAAGAGCCAAGAGCTTCTTCCAGGTCTCCCATGAGGCTGCAGGGGCCCCAAGGACTTGGGCCATCTTCCGCCGCTTTCCCAGGCCATCAGCAGAGAGCTGATCGGAAGAGGAGCAGCCAGGGCTAGAACCAGCACCCATATGGGATGCCGGCACTACAGGCGGAGGATTAACCTACTGCACCACAGCACCAGCCCCCCTGTTATTGACTTTAATGTTTGCTTCATATAGCTAATAGCAGAAGTGAAACATTCTTCTTTCCCCCTCTCATTTCCTTAAATGCATGGCAGATTTGGATGAAATGAACTCTTTTAAGGAAATTAAGCAAAGGGTGTGCTGTTTGCCAGATACTATCTTTTAACCAGCATTGATAGAGTCCAAGTTTAGGGAAAAGAAAGGATGGCAAATAAAGTCAAAGTAGGCTTCTTCAGAAATTTAAAAAACCTTTAAAGTACCACCTAATATCATCATTAGATAGGTAGCAGACAGGATTGGATGGATGGGTGGATGGGTAATCTGAAGACCTTCTCCTTTATGGGAGCCAAATTTATTCATTCTTTCTTTCTGAGCAAAGCAAAGGGTGTTTATTACAGAGTCAGAGAAAGCTCTCCAGCAGCTGGGAGTGCCTCCCCGAAGGGCTGCTTGCCTAAACTGCTTCCAAATTGTTTTTTAAATCAGATAAACACCTGAACTATCAAGGATAGATTTATTTAGCAAATATTCCTATAGACTTTACTGTGGGATATATTACAAAATGCTTTTCAAACAATAACTTAATCTTCATTACAGGAAAGGAAATATTATTCAGTCCCACTTTACTAATAGGATGAGGAAATTGAGGCTTAAAAGAGTTTATATAACATCCTTAAGGTCACTTAAGCTAGAAATTTGAATTCAAGAAATCTTACTTCAGAGTCTGCTTCTTAAATATTATGTCATGCAACCTTTCCCATCTATTTTTCTCCCAAAGTTTCAATGGAGAAAAATGCTACAACCTTTACCAGAAAACACCTTATGCAGGGCAGGTGTTGTGTGGTACAATCATGACATGGAATGCCTGCATCCCATATTGGAGTGCCAGTTGGAGTCTTGGCTACTCTGTTTCCAATCCAGCTTCCTGCTGTTGCATCTTGGGAGGCAACAAGAGATGGCTCAAGAGTTGGGCCTTTGCCACACGCATGGGAGACCCAGATTGAGTTCTGGGCTCCTGGCTTTGGTCCGGCCCAGACCCAACTCTTAGGTACCTTTGGAGAATGAACCAGTGAATAAAAGCTCGTACTCTCTCTGACTCTACTTTATCTTCTTTGTCAGTAGATAAAGAAATAAACATTTAAAAAAGTACTACAGCATACGAAAAGGGAGTCAGGTCTGGAAGCATTATAAAATGACACTTTTAAAAAAAGAAAATACCTAATGAGCATGAAATATCTTTAAAAGCTATGTATCTGAATAAGGCCTTTGTCAGATGTATAGCACCTTGACTTTCTTCGTTACAGCTTTCCCAAAAGCTGCTTAGTTGGAGTGTTCCCTCCTCATTATTATTGTCTGTTTGTTCCACCCACTCCTTTCCCAACCTCAAATTGCATGATTTGTATCTAGCTCTCATTTGTGTATCTTTGACCACAAGCTCCTTTTTGTTAGGGGACTGTGAGAAGTTTATTGTGTCCAGGGTTAGACTAATGAGGTCCTTTCATCTATTTCTTTTTTACCTTAATTATAATTCTTGCCTGCTAATTATTTCTGCCTACCCGTGTTCATGTATAGTCTGCTCTTTGCATGTAAGTTTTGTTAGTGTCAGAAATGCTTTCCCATGTCTGCCTTTTTTTTTCTGTTTCTTTTCTAAGTATATTAATCTTTATTGTCTTAAGAGAAATTCTGTTGTAATTAATTTCACATATAATGACTTACTGTGTACATGAACTTCCTGGGACCTCTGAATAAATCTACTGAGGACTTCTTTGGTAAGGAATTTTTCTCCTGTGATGAAGAGAAAGAGTCCCAAGAAAATAAATCAGTAAACAGAAAACTAAGGATTCCATTTAATACCTGCTTTTCTTTCCAGTACTTGATGTGTTTTAAAATTGGTTTATGCTTTCCTTTTTGGTAGTTTTCACATTTCCCTGGTGACTGTACAACTGTCTAATCTATAATTATAGTGAGAAGATTAGAAAATAATTAAGAAGTTAGCTCCTTGTAAGTCACCTACCTCTAGCCTAACCAAAGCTGTAGCAAGTGGTAGGTAACATGAAGTTGTCACTAGACTGCTTGTGACTCAATGACACCAGTTATTACTCTCATAAAAGCTACCAACCTGGGGCCGATGTTGTGGTTTAGCAGATTAAGCCACCGTCGGCAGCAACAGCATTCCATATGGGCACCAGTTCAAATCCCAGCTGTTCCACTTCAATCCAGCTCCCTGCTAATGTGCCTGGGAATGCAACAGAGAATGGCCCATGTCCTTGGCCTCTGTACCCATGCGGGAGACCCAGAAGAAGTTTCTGGCTCCTGGCTCTTGGCTTCAGCCTGGCCCAGCCCTGACTGTTGTAGCCATTTGGGCAGTGAACCAGCAGATGGAAGATCTCTCTCTGTCTCATTTTCTCTCTCTGTAACTCTGCCTATCAAATAAGTAAATATTAAAAAAAAAAAAAAGCCACCAATGGAAGTCTGTATATTTTAGTGTATAATTGTTGCTATTTATGCCATGATGTTTCTCAAGAAACTGCTGGGGTTTTTGTGAGCCATGTAAACCTTCAAATGTGAACCTTCAATAGTCATTAAATTTGTATTGACTCCTTGTCATGTGCTAGTCATTATACTAGGAACCAAGGCAGATATGAAGATGAATAAAATGTAGTTCTTCTTGTCAAGGAGCTTATAATCCCATACATGCCCAAATTGTTAATATGTAGAATATTTATAAGGATTACAAGAAATGCTTAAGCGGAGCCAGTGCCATGGCTCACTTGGTTAGTCCTCTGCCTGCGACGCCAGCATCCCATGTGGGTGCCGGATTCTGGTCCTGGTTGCTCCTCTTCCAGTCCGGCTCTCTGCTGTGGCCCTGGAAGGCAGTGGAGGATGGCCCAGGTGCTTGGGCCCTTGCACCCGCATGGGAGACCAGGAAGAAGCACCTGGCTCCTGGCTTCAGATGAGTGCAGCGCCGGCCGTGGCGGCCATTTCGGGACTGAGCCAGCGGAGAGAGGACCTTTCTCTCTGTCTCTTTCTCTCTCACTGTAACTCTACCTGGCAAAAAAAAAAAAATCTTTAAAAAAAAAATGCTTAAGCAAAGAGCTGAAAACATTCATAGACTAAGGAAAATTACTGTTGGCTAAAGAGGAATCAAAGAGTCCTTTATGGAGAAACTTGCATTTAGGTTGTTTTGTTTTTATTATTTTTTCAAAGCCCACAGTCTTTTTTTGTTTGTTTTTTAAATATTTATTTATTTTATTTGAAAGGCAGAGGCAGAGAGAGAGGTCTTCCATCTGCTGGTTTACTCCCCAAGTGGCCACAATGGCTGGAGATGTGTTGATCCAAAGCCAGGACCCTGGAGCTTCTTCCGAGTCTCCCACATGAGTGCAGAGGCCCAAGGACTCGGGCCATCTTCCATCTGCTTTTCAGGTCATAGTAATGAGCTGAGTCAGAAGTGGAGCAGCTGGGACTCAAACTGGCACCCACATGGGATGCCGGAACTGCAGGTGGCAGCTTTACATGCTATACCGTAGCACTGGCCCCTTGTTTTGTTTTTTAAAGATTTATTTATGCCGAAGGAAGAGTATCAGAGAAAGAGAAAGAAGAAGGAAGGGAACGAGAGAAAGATCTTTCATTTATCTGCTGATTCACTCCCCAAATGACTGCAACAGCCAGGGGCTGGACCAGGCTGAAGACGGGAGCCTGGAATTCCATCCTGGTCTCCCACATAGGTGCAGGGGCCCAAACCGTTGGGCCATCTGCTGCTGCTTTTTCAGGTCATTAGCAGGGAATGGATTGAAAGTGGAACAGCTGGGAATTGAACCAGCACTCACCAAAAAGGAAACCTGTTAAAGTGAAATGAACACTGCGAGAAACAGTGACTTGATCAGCCCTCACCCTGACTGTTGATGAGCAACTTAATATGTTATCCCTCTTAGTATTTTTGTTTGTTTGTTCTACTTAATACTTTTGGTTGAATACTGTAATCAATACACAATTCTTCTTAAGTGCTGAAACTTAACTGAAAAGTGATCGCTGTTAAATATAAGAGTGGGCATAAGAGAGGGAAGAGATGTGCAATTCGGGACATGCTCAAGCTGACTTACCTCAAACGGTAGAGTTAGAAACATACCAGGGGATTGCAATTCAATCCCATCAAGGTGGCATGTACCAATGCCATCTCACTAGTCCCAGTGATCAATTTCTGTTCACAATTGATCATAATGATAGGACTAAGAACCAAAGGGATCACATAAACAAGAATAGTGTCTGCAAATACTAGCTGATAGAATAAAAAAGGGAGAGAACGATCCAACATGGGAAGTGAGATACACAGCAGACCCATAGAATGGCAGATGTCCTAAACAGCACTCTGGCCTCAGAATCAGCCCTTAAGGCATGCGGATCCGGCTGAAAAGCCCATGAGAGTATTACAGGCATGGAAAGCCAAAACACTCTGGCATTTAAAAAAAAAAAAAAAACTAAATGAAAGATCTCTGTGAGTGAGATCCCAGTGGAAAGAACGGGTCATCAAAGAAGGAGGTACCTTTCTCTGAAGGGAGGAGAGAACTTCCACTTTGACCATGGCCTTGTCTAAATATGATTAGAGTCGGTAAACTCAGGGGGCTTCCATAGCCTTGGCAGCTCATGACAAGAGCCTAGGGTGATTACTGATGCCATAAACAAGAGTGTCAATTTGTTAAGTCAACAACAGGAGTCACTGTGCACTTACTCCTCATGTAGGATCTTTGTCCTTAGTGTGCTGTACATTGAGATTTAATGCTATAACTAGTACTCAAACAGTATCTTTCACTTTATGTTTCTGTGTGGGAGCAAACTGTTGAAATCTTTACTTAATGTATGCCAAACTGATCTTCTGTATATAAAGAGAATTGAAAATGAATCTTGATGTGAATGGAAGTGGGGAGGGAGAGGGAAAGGGGAGGGTTGCGGGTGGGAGGGACGTTATGGGGGGAAGCCATTGTAATCCATAAGCTGTACTTTGGAAATTTATATTCATTAAATAAAAGTTAAAAAAATTTAAAAAAAAAAAAAAAGGAAAGAGGAAATTAAATTAAGCACCCAGTTGAGAATAGTTGGCTAGACAAACAAAAGCTTGCATTGTCTTTATGATATTATCTTTGGTTCTCTACAAAATCAAATTACTTCCTTATAATTTTAGTAGATTCCAATTATTTACCTTAAAAGCCATGTTATGTTAATAAAACACATTGATATAAGGTCTTCTTGGGAGCATAAAAATCATCTGTGGCTTAGGACGCCTTCATTCAAGTGTCTTCAGCTTTGTACCAGGTTTTTGTTTTAAAGATTTATTTTTTTCTTTATTTGAAAGGCAGAGTTAGAGGGAAAGGCAGAGAGAGAAAGAGATCTTCCATCCACTGGTGCATTCCCCCAAAAGGCTGTAATGGCCAGGGCTAGGCCAGACTGAAGCCAGGAGCCAGCAGCTTCTTCTGGGTCTCCTATGTGGGTGCAGAGGCCCAAGCACTTGGACCATCTTCAGCTGCTTTCCCAGGTGCATTAGCCAGGAGCTGGATCAGAAGTGGAGCAGCCAGGACTGGTGGCCATGTGGGATGCTGGCATTGCAGGTGGTGGCTTTATGATCTATGCCACAATGCTGCTCCCTGCCCCAAGTTTTCTGCTTTTTGTTTTGAAAGAGACTAAATGTTCTATCCACTACTTCTCTGCCCAAATGGCCATAACAGCCAGGGCTGGGCCAGGCTGAAGCTAGGAACCCAGAACTCAATCTGAGCCACCACCACTGGGCTCACAGGGTACACATTAGCAAGAAGCTGAAATCAGAAATGGAGCTAAGACTCAAACCCAGGCACTCCAACATGGGATGCAAATGCTCTAGGTGGGTCCTTAACTATTGTGGCCAGTGTCCACCCCTGTACCGGCCTTTAATGTTCTTCCTCCTCTTCCATTTTGTGTATCCTTAGGCAGTAAGAATCCCAGCAGAAACAAGAGACTGTTTACTTCTTTCAGGGACTCTTTTTCTTGTAGGCAGGTCTCAATTTATATCTTACAGCAAAAAGAAATAAATGAGAATTGGGGCATATTAGGAATGTTTGTTAAAATTATATTACAATCGTCCGGCGCCACGGCTCACTAGGCTAATCCTCCGCCTTGCGGCTCCAGCACACCGGGTTCTAGTCCCAGTCAGGGCGCCGGATTCTGTCCCGGTTGCCCCTCTTCCAGGCCAGCTCTCTGCTGTGGCCCGGGAGTGCAGTGGAGGATGGCCCAAGTGCTTGGGCCCTGCACCCCATGGGAGACCAGGAGAAGTACCTGGCTCCTGCCATTGGATCAGCACGGTGCGCCAGCCGCAGTGTGCAGGTCGCGGCGGCGGCCATTGGAGGGTGAACCAACGGCAAAGGAAGACCTTTCTCTGTCTCTCTCTCTCACTGTCCACTCTGCCTGTCAAAAAAAAAATTACAATCATAAATCCCTTTCTTTTTTAAAATGTGTATTTGAAAGGCAGAGAAAAAGAAATGAGAGAGAGAGACAGACAGACAGAGAGATGTCCCATCCATTGGTTCACTCCCCAAATGCCTACTATAGAGGAGACTGGGCCAAGCTGAAGCCAGGAGCAAGGAACTCAATCAAGGTCTCCCATATGTGTGGTAGGGACCCAACCAGTAAAGCCATCACATGCTGCTTCCCAAAGTGTGCATTGTCAGAAAGCTGGAATCAGGATCAGAATCGGAACTCAAGTCCAGGCACTCTTACATGGGATGCAGGCATCTCAAGCAGCATCTTAAACACTATGCCAAATGCCTGCATCAAATTCTTGTTTCTTAATTGATAGAACAATCAATTTAAAGCTTAAAATCATAAGCACTAGTTTCACAATATTAAATTTTCAAAGATACTAGTAAATCCATTGAATGTTACTGCCTTTCTTTGTATGTGATGAAGAGAAAAGATTCCATCTAACTTAAAATAAATGCAGGTATTTTCAAAGAGCATGAAGATCTTAGCCTGTAGTATGCCAGGCTCTTCATTTGAGTTCTCCCCCATTTCAAAAATACCATGATTCCCACATGTCCTGTAGATGGCAGTAGCTATATGGAAAAATCTAAGTTCATTCAAGAGGTTTAAGAGTGATTAACAGATGGAGTCTTTAGTGAATAAGATTTAGTTGAAATATTTGTTCTTTGTCAATGTTTGTTACTGATTTTAAAAAATCAGTTATAATTTCTCTTACTCATGATGTTTCCATTTAATTGTCTTCTGTCGTCACCTGACCTTCCCACCCTTCACTTTGGTTTCAGAAATCACATTATACACCATTTCTCTTTAGAGGGCAGTGATTGGAAACTGGGTGATTGCACACACAATAGCATCTTGTGTAAAGTTTCATCTCAAGAAAGCAGACTGTCAGATGATAAAAATCCTCACAGGAACAGTAAACCAGAGCCATATATGTTTCAAATGCACATTTATTACAAATCTACAGCTCAGAGTCAATCAAGTATATTTTTGCATGGGGAGAAGTAGCTTATTCGGGAATATGAGAAGCTTTCTCGTTCTCCCTGCATAGTGGGGATTTTTGAAGGGGGATTCACTCAGTATTTAATGAGTGCTTATGGTAGGCCCTATGCACCCTGCACTACCTCAGTGAAAGGACATGATACTGCCTTCAGACAGCCTTCCCAAGTCAGTAAAGTGTGGTAATTGCTGTGTCTGGAGAAGGCTACTTCAGAAATGGATAGTATTGGTTGCCTTTGGGGTGAGAAACTAGGTGGTTAGGGGATAGAGTGGGAGAGAAGCTTCTCATTGAGTTAAGACTCTGCTGTTTGAACCATGGTGGATTTACTACCCATATAAAAATAAAGCTAGATTTCCTTGGTATGTCTTATTACCACATCTGAGGACAATACATCAATTTTCTTTTACTTAGAGGGTTGTGTAGCCTACTAAACTTCTACTAAACATTTACTAGATAGAAACGTATTGCACAGGATCATTAAAGTATCTAACATTTTTGGTTTTGGTTACAGGGAACTTCCCGCTTTTTATTTTTCATGCCTCTCACTTAGTATATCCGATAAACATCAAGTGGCTGTGAGTAGGAGTGGTTTCTCCCCAAGAAACCAACTGTAGATTTTTTTTTAACAACAGCAAAGAGCTGTTTGTTTCTGTATTTGTTTGGTTTTTTTTTTTTTTTTTCTGTTTTAATGGAAATTACACATGAGATGTGCCAGATAATCCTGGCAGAAAACACATTGTGAACAGAAAAAAATCTGGTTAGGAAATATGGTTCATTTAGTAAATTCAGAATTAGAGCGAACTAGTAGCTTTCTTTGGTGAAATGAATTATGATATGCTATTGAAGGAGTCATATTAGGACATAAAGAGGTATCAACTCTCTTGAAATAAATTCTTACAGCTAAACTTAAAATACTGAGACTGAAAAGAAATTCAATAGAATCAGTAACCCCCATGTCCTTAGAAATTCTGTATATGTTTTGGGATCATGTAAAGATCATATTGAAGGTTGTAAAGAAACAAAATTTTAGGCCTAGTTGAAACCTGATAAAAAGATCAGAATAAAAGTCAAATATACACAGGGAATTGTATAAGTTACCAACCTTATATATATGCATATTTGCTGAGGTACAGTGCACATTAATTGGCTAGTTAATCTTTATGAACTCTGTTTCTGTTAATTGGATAATAAAAACAACTAATGGGGGCAGGCGTTTAGCCTAGTGGTTAAGGTGCCCATGTTCCACATCAGAGTGCCTTGGTCTGATTCCAGCCCTTGCTCCTGACTCCAGCTGTCTGCTAGTGCAGACCTTGGGAGGCAGTGGTGGCTCAAGTAATTGGGTCCCTGCCAACCATGTGGGAAACCTACACTGCAGTTTTGGCTCCTGGCTCCAGTTTTGCCCAGACCAGTGCATGGGGGTTTTCTCTTGGTCTGTCAGTATGGTGCCTCTCTCTCTCCCCCTCTCTCCCTCTCTCCCTCTCTCCCTCTCTCCCTCTCTCCCTTTCTGTCTGCCTCACAAGTAAAAACATAAAAAGAGCTAACATTTTAGTAGTGTATGTAATTTATAGATCACTTTTGCACTGTTTATCTCAGTTGAGTATAGTTTTCAAAGGTGAAGATTTACATTAGAATGAAAATCTTATCTTCTGACTTCTATCTTCATATCTCCTATTGTCACTTCCCTGTTAGGTATGGCCATGTAAATTATTTGGATACAAAAAAGCAATTGGGTAAACTTCTCTTGACATACATAACATGCCAACTAAAAAGAAAATCTTCATCTATGGTAACGTACTCTTTCCACCTCCCTTTATTATGTATTTTTTGCTCAGCTCATGGATAAGTCCATGTCAGAGCACAGTAAAGACTGGTAAGATGCTCCAAACCTGTTCTATTGTCCCTTCTCCCTCCTCTTTCATAACAGGTAGGAGTTTCATTCCAATTTTCTACAGTTTTTGAGTCATTTTCTTAATCTCTTGCAAATGTATGACATCTTACTCTAATATATACTTCATCTCTTTTCTGTGCTGTCAAACTTCTATCGTCCCTTTCCAATTCATTCATTAATTTATCTACCTGTTCAGCTAATACTTATTGATCATCTTAAGTGCTGGGGCTTGTTTTTTATGCCAAGAACCCAGCAATAAAAGAAACAGAGAACACTGCCTGCCGTTCTGGAGTTTACATCGCTTCTAATAGATCAATCATCAGGGCTGCTCATTGCATTACCCACCGGACACTACTCACATGCTGGTCTGTGTGAATATTGCCCCTGGAGTTGTGCTGTACACAGCTGGCTCAGCTTTACACAATGGTCCTGATTTCTGTGCTTAGTATTTTCAAAACTACTTTTCTATGCTAAGATAAGTTTCCATGTTCCAACATTTTCCAACGTTTGCCAGAGGATGACCCTGCGCTTTGGGAAAGCATGCAGTCCTCTCCTGCCGAGTGGAGGAGAGTTTTATGGAGAAACCATCTTTCCTCAGATGATCTACATTAAGCCACTCTAAGATTTACTTGCTGCTTCTTCCTGTATTTTCAACATTATCAAACCCGTTTTTTTCCTGTGTCTTTGATTACTTCTCTTTTTTCTTTTTTAAGAAAATTTTTTACTTGTTTTCATTTTATTGAAAGAGAGAGATCGTCTATCCACTGGTTTATTCCCCAAAAGCCCACAACAGCAGGGACTTGGCTAAGCCAAAACCAGAAGCTAGGAAATCCATCCAAGTCTCCCACATGGGTACCAGGTACCCATGTACTTGGGCCATCACTTGCTGTCTCCCGGAGTGTACATTCGCAGGAAGCTGGATCAGAAGCAGAGTAGCAGGGACTCAAACACTCCAATATGGGATCCCTGTGGGAACTTAACGGCCATAGCAAACAACTGCCCCTCTTCTTTCCTTGCATAGTAAGCCATGGATGTTTTCTTTTTTAAAATGTTCTCATTTATTTGAAAGACAGTGTGACAGAGAGAGATGTCTTCCATCTGCTGGTTCACTTCCCAGATGCCAGCAACAACTGGGGTTGGGCCAGGCTAAGCCAGGAGCCAGGAATTCCATACTTGTCTCCCACATAGATGACAGGGACCCACCCAACTACTTGGGCTCCTCTCAGATGCATTATCAGGAAAGTAGATTGGAAGTGCAGGGTAGCTGGGATTCAGACTGTGCATTCCCAATATGGGATGTGGTCATCCCAAGTAGCAGCTCAGCCCACTGCATCTCAATCCTGCCCTTGGATGTTTTTTCATGTTTCTTCCCCCTGACAGTGATCATAACATATATTTTTTTAGCTGTGCAGTGTTTCTTCTACCTTAATTTGTAGTCAGAAAATACAGTAAGAAGTCTGTGCCCTGCATTTTAAAAAGAATTATTTTATTTTATTTTATTTTGAAAGTAGAGAGACCACCCTCTTATCCTCTGATTTATTTCCCCAAAATGCCTGCAACAGTCAGCTTGGGCCAGGATGAAGTCAGGAGCCAGAAATTCAATCTGGATCTTCCCTTGTGAATAGCAGGGACCCAGCTACTTGCGCCATCACCTGCTGCCACCCAGAGTGCACATTAATGAGAAACTGGAGTGGAGGTCAAAGCTGGAACTCAAACCTAGGCACGCCCAGTATGGGATGTGAGCATCACAAGCAGTAGCTTCACCACTGTATCAAATGCCTACTCCTGTGTCCTGCATGTTGAAGACAAAGTTGCATTTCAAGTATTTATTAGCAAGATAAAGGAGGAAAAAACTCCTGTTTTCCTTATGATCAAAATATGAACTGAGGTGCTGGTGCTGTGGCATAGTGGGCTTGGTCTCTGCCTGCAGTGCCAGCACCCCATATGAGTGCTGGTTCGAGTTATCGGCTGCTCCACTTCTGATCCAGCTCTCTGCTATGGCCTAGGAAGGCAGTAGAGGCTGGCCCAAGTGCTTGGGCCCCTTCACCTACATGGGAGACCTAGAAGAAGCTCCTGGTTCCTGGCTTCAGATAGGCCTAGCTCCAGCTGTGTGGCCATTTGGGAAGTGGATGGAAGACCTCTCTGTGTCTGTAACACTACCCCTCAAATAAATAAATCTTTAAAAAAGAAATGAACTGAAAATACTTGTTAGTAATATTCCATCTCTAACTTAGAAAATAACTGAATTTGACTAAGAAAGCAATAATGTCAAGACTCACTATTAAAGTGAAATGCGTGTTTAAAAAGAGTAATTCTTTGTGCATATAGAGTAGAAAAACTTGAGAAGTATGTTTACTTGCACATTGTTGTCATTAAAATCAGATGGAAAGGTTTAGAGATTGTGCAATTAAGGAATGTTTTCTACCCACAAATTCCCTAGCTATGTGTTTCACATTCATAAACAATTAGGCCTAAGGATACTTGGATTCAAATCTGCTTTGGAAACTCATTTTTGCAAATATTTAGTTTCCTAGATCTTTACTGAAATGATCGACAACATCAGGTATCAACTGCACCAACAACTTTTCTCCATGGGGTGATCTGGTTTGTCTTTTGATCTTTTCCATATCCAGCCTCTTAAAACTTCATCTGTTACACATCTCATCTTTTGTAATCCAGTGTGGGACCTCTATTTGAAATAGTTTTGGGATATATGTTAATTATGTGTAAGACACAAAGGCTCCTGCTTTTCTAGCTAGCCTTACTTCCCTCTCAGCATTTTTACTTGTTTCATCATTTTTAGACTTCAGACATGATTAACTCTCTCAACTCCTTTGTTTTTTTCAATTGCCATTCCCTATTTTTATTATTAAACAACTGAATGCCTTAACTCTAGGTAATTTAACATACATCTTCACTGTTGAAGTGAAATGGCACTTGTTGTTACCAGTGGCTTTTGATGAAAATGGAAACTAATGTTTGTTGAGTACAACAAATATTACTTCTGTGGACCATGCAGAAGACGCCTATGCTAGACACTTGTATATGAAGTGTCTCATGTAATTTTCACATCAGTTACATAGATAGCAGTATTCCTTTCTTAAGAAAGAGAGAAGTGGGGCTGGCGCTGTGGCATAGCGTGTAAAGCTGCTGCCTGCTGGCATCCCATATGGGTGCCGGTTTGAGACCTGTCTGCTCCACTTCTGATCCAGCTCTCTGCTATGGCCTGGGAAGGCAATGAAGGTGGCCCAAGTCCTTGGGCCCCTGCACCCATATGGGAGACTGGGAAGAAGCTTCTGGCTCCTGGCTCATATCTGCTCAGCTCTGCCGTTACAACCATTTGGGGAGTGAACCAGCAGATGGAAGGCCTCTCTCTCTGTCTCTGTCTCTGTCTCTCTCTCTCTTTCTCTCTCTGCCTCTGTAACTCTGCTTTTCAAATAAATAAATAAATCTTAAAAAAAAAATAAGAGTATGGGGCCAGTGCTGTGGTATAATGGGTTAAGACAGTCTGCAGCACCTTCATCCCGTATGGGATCCAGTTCAAGTCCCAGCTGCTCCACTTCTGATACAGCACTCTGCTAATGTGCCTGGGAAATCAATGAAGGATGGCCCAAGTGCTTGGGCCCTGCACCCATGTGGGAGATCTGGAAGAAACTCCTGACTCCTGGCTTCTGTCTTGCCCAGCTCTGGCCATTGTGGCCATTTGGGTAGTGAACCAGTAGATGGAAGATCTCTCTGTCTCTCTGTCTTTCCTTCTCTCTCTTTGTAACTCTGCTTTTCAAATTCAAAAAAAAAAACACACACACACACACACAAGAGAGAAAGAGAAAAGTAGGGGTTAAATAACTTGTCTTAGCTTCTAAGTAGCATATTCATCCCCAAGTCCTTGCTCTTTCCCCTTTAACACACTTTTTGTATTTCAACTTATCTTTTTATCTCTTCTTGATTAAAAGGCCTCTCTGGGCTCTTTGTGACATTATTTTCTGCTCTCTGGTTCAGTTGGGTCCCCATTGCTTTAATTCCAGATGGACAGGGTGGGGCAATTCATGTGAGTGGGGATCTTTCAGTGTTACATGCCACTGAGTTCTCAGGGTACAGGTGTGGCTTCACTTACATAATGCTCATGGACAATCTATGAAATGCCAAAGAAATCGTACATCATGTACCTGTAACCCATCTATCGGCACAAGAAGCATGTTTGCAAAATGTAGACCAGCCTTCTAATTTTATGAATCATAGAGTCTGTTCATATTTTCTACCCACTCACCACCAGGTCTAATCAGCTCTTATTTTCTAATATGCTGCCAGAGTGGTTTTCAAATGTTGCAGAAAAAAGAGGCTCCAACTTGATTATTTGCTTTGAAAAAATACCATTTGTTTCTAGGGGTGCAAAACTTCTCAAAAAGTATACAATGTAAATTCAGTGCAGTGTTTAGAAAGCCAGTACCTCAGAGCAAGTTAGCTTCTAAGCTATTTCCTTATGTGTAAGATCAGAAAAATACAACTACTTAGTCCATAGGGATGTGTGAGGATAAATGAGGTAATATTTATGAAAGAGCTATGTAAGCTGTAAAAGAATCCCCACTGTAACTGGTAGGCAATGAAAGCACAGACAGTGTGATACTTTTACTTATAGCTCTGATATACCTAAAAGGGTTAAGATTATAAGGGAAGAAATTTTCTTGAAAATAGAGGTGACTTATTTCTTCAAAAAAACTGTACTTTAGTCCCTTGACTTTATTTATTTATTTATTTAAAAGGCAGAATTACTGAGAGAAAGAGAAAGACAGAGAGAATCTTCTATCCACTGGCTTATTCACCAAATGGCTACAATACTGGGGCTGGGCCATGCCAAAACCAGAATCCTACAACTGCATCCCTGTCTCCCACATGAGTGGCAGGAGCCCAAGCACTTGGGCCATCTTGTGCTGCTTTTCCTGGTGCGTTTCCTAGGGAACTGGATCAGAAGTGGAGCAGCCAGGACTCGAACTGGAGTTCTATGAGATCCTGGTATCATAGGCAGTGACTTAACCCACTGCACTACAATGCTGGCCCCTTAATTTTGTTTTTTTTTAACACATGTCCATGCGAAGGTATTTATACTGAATGGGGGAAAAAAAAAAACCTTTGGCCATCTATGCCTCATCCTTTCTTGTTAAATGCCCACTCAGAGGACTCTTTAGGAAAGTGTTGACGTCAAAGAGATCTAGATCAAAATTCTGGCTCTGTCACTTGTTAGATCACTCTGGACAAATAATTTCCATAATCAAACATTTCAGAGTTAATGAGCTAAAATTTTTCATCCTTCCTTCTCCCTTAGATCTTTGTTCTTTGCTTGACCTTTAATTGGTTTGCTGGTGTCACCCTCTGTTCAGTTGCTTGAGATTAATCACAGTGATTTCTACTTTCTCATTCACCACACTGACTAATTAATTGAACAAGTTCTGCTGATACTACCTCCTACATTAATACTTCTGGTCTTGCACTAGCCCATATGGTAGCTACTAGTTAGTGTGGTATTGTGCACTTAAAACATGGCTAACCGAATTGAGATGTGCTCTAAGTGGGAAGTACAAACTGGAGTTCAAAACAGTATAAAAATGATTTTTAAGTTTCAGTAAATTTATAATAATTTCATATTGAAACAATATTTTGATACAGTGAGTTCAACAAAATATACTAATACTTAAGTCACATGTTCCTTTTCTTAGTGTAGCCACTAAATTTAGTTACATTTGTAGCTCATATGATATTTCTTTTTTTTTAGATTGATTTATTTATTTGAAAGGCACAGTTACAGAGAGAGAGAAAGAGAGAGAGAGAGAGATTTTCCTTCTACTATTCACACTCCAGATAGCTGCAATGGCCAAGGCTGGGCCAGGCTGAAGACAGGAACCAGGAGCTTTATCCGAGTCTCCCTCATGGGTAGCAGGGGCCCAAATACTTAAGCTACCCTCTGCCCTATGCTGCTCTCCCAGGCCATTAACAAGAAGCTGAATTGGAAGTGGAGCAACCTAGACGTGAACCAGCACCCATACGGGATACTGGTGTTGCAGGCAGCGACTTTACCCACCACACCACAGCACCAACCCCTCATATGAGATTTCTCATGGACAATGTTGCTCTATTATGTTCTGTTCTATCTTAGCATCTTTTATCTCTTGCTGTTGTGAATGTCTAATAATTGACCTCCCTATATTCTGAATCTCAAAGAGAATGTTCTTTCTGAAATCTGAAAGTGTCACTTGTCTGCTACTGCTGCCCTTCAGAGGCATCTCGTCACAAAACCCAAGGTACTATGTGCCCTATGAAAGAATATCATGATTATTTGACTCTTGTCTACCTCTCAGCCTCATCTCTCACCTCTCCTCAGCTCCTTCTTCCATCTTGGACTGTATACTCTGCTGATCCTAAAATGCCTGTTTTCCCCTCAGCATATCGTTCTGTTTCACTGATCTCTTTCTTTGCATTGCTGATTCTTTAATCTAGCATACTCTTGCCACCCCTCCTCCATGTGACTAGGGAGTTCCATTTTAGCTTTCAAAGCTTCTTGTAGGTAACCAGATTCAATGGTTCTGTTTCCTGATGCCAGCTTCCAGCGTATTGTAGGAGGCCGCAGATGATAGCTCAAGTAATTAAGTCCCTGACAACCATATGGGAGACCTGGATTGGGTTCCCCAGAACTGACCATTGCAGGCATTTAGGGGAAGGAACCAGCAGGTGGGTGTACACTCGCTCTCGGAATTCTCCCAAATAATAACAACTTTCCATAGGTTCCTCTTTTCTCCCACCCTTATGGTGGGTCCACCACTACTTTTTGTTTGCTCTCACTGAGCCCTAAGCTCTGTGAAGGGAGGGACCATGGCTTGTTCACATTGTATCCACTTATGCTTTGGATAACACCTGGAGCTCAGCAGGTACATTCATTTGATAAATGTTTGTGTCATTTGAATTGCATTGCATTAGAATCATTTTTATTACAGTAATTTATTTATATGTCTCCCTACTGTGGAATGAGTGGGGGTAGGAGGGCAAGTATGGTAGGAAGAATCAACTATATTCCTAAAGTTGTTCTTATGAAATTTGTACTCATTGAATAAAAGGTTTCTTGGGGTTGGGGGGGGGGGATTTCTCCCTGTCTGCCTCCTCTCTCTCTCCGCCTCACACACTATCATTCTGCTTTTCAAATACATCTTAAAAGTGGGGAGTTCTCCCCAAAATACAACCTGAAGTAAAATTGGTACCCCAGGAAGATATGCCATGTTTATTCTGTGGCTTCAATCATCTCCAACATATTGCCAATTACTGGTTTGTATACTCGAGTTGAGAACTATAATGTTAGACTTTCCAACAAAATACTTAGGGGTATCCTGCAATTTACTTAAGAAGAATGGATCAGAGCTACTAATGGGGCCAGCATTGTGGTATAGTAGGTTAAGCCGCCATCTGCAATGCCAGCATCCCATACTAGTGCCGCTGGTTTGAGTCCCAGCTCCTCCACTTCCTATTCTGCTCTCTGCTTATGTACCTTGGAGAGCACTGGAAGACACCTCAAGTGCTTGGGCCCCTTTTCCCATGTGTGAGACCAGGAAGAAGCTCCTGGCTCCAGACTTAATTAAGCCTAGCCCAGCTGTAGCTATTGTGGACATTTGGAGAATAAACTGGCTGATGGAAGATTTCTTTCTCTGTCTCTTCTAACTCTGCCTTTCAAATAAATAAAATAACAATTTAAAAAAAAATTGATTCCTGTTTAAAAAGAAAAAAAAAAAAAAGAGTTACTAAGAGCATGGATTTGAGGTTTGAAACCCAGCTCTGCCTTTTTCTGGCCTGTGACTTTGAGCTAGTTCCTTAACTTTGCTGGGTCTCAGTTTCCATCTATAGAGGGGAATAACAGTGGATGGCAATACTTGAACCAAATTCACAGGATATCTGTAGGATTAAATGCTAATGCAAGTACTTTTAATAAGTCGTAACTGCTGAGGAACTAGCTAAAGAGGAAAAAATAGGTAATTTTTCTTTTTGGTTTATGTCACTTTTTAATATATATACTTGAAAAAAAGAAATTCAAAATAGCTCTTTTATGAAGAACTGGCTCAGTCCATCCAAGTCTCTGGATTAGAGAAGTCTAGTGAACACACTTGTCTCATTCTGTACTCCTGATTTCTTCTCTCACACCTCTCCCTCAAAACACATCCCCATTATTGCTTCCTGTCATTTCCAGTTCCTGTGTCCCTTTTCTGCTAAGAAAAGCAGAAGTGAGGGAGATGTGAGTTTGGGGATTTCTAAAAGCTGTTCAGAAGTCCTCATTATTATGTTATATTAACTGTAGTTATGTGAATAATATTTGTCAGATCTTTTCTCTGGGAAACACAAAGGAATTTCCCCCATTAGACTTATATTTTAACTTTTAGAGCGCAGGAATGATTATGCTATACATACAGAATATGAGTTATACAATTACAAGGGTTGATATAGTTTAAGACAGAAACCCTGTGATTTTTTTTTTCTTCCCTCCACATTTTGCATATGGGGAAACTTAGTCTCTTCATTTGCCTCACTAGCACAAAGTATATTGCCAACCTTAAACATGCAGTTTTTGTACATCAAAAATAGTAGAATACTGGCAGTTTCATGTAGTTTGTAATACAAACCCTCTGTGTGTGTGTGTGTGTGTGTAAAATGTGTTGTGTGTAAAGATTTTAAATGTGAATGTGTAATTTAAAGAGTAATGATAACACCTTTCTGCCCAGCAGTTGGCTTAAGAAGTTCTCTATATGCCTTGTCTAATCTTCTCTCAGTCTTCACCCTAACCAGGTAACATAATCCTGATGTATATGTAGCTAATTGTCTTGATTTTCATTGAGTAGCAAGTTCAGCCCTAGCTGTGTGAGGAAAGGGCAATATTGTCACTATTAGATTTGTTATTTCATCTAGATACACTGTCTAAAGTATTTGGTTCAATATCTGGCTTTTTTTCTGAAAGGAGCCCCTTCTAAAGAAGTAGGAATTCAAGTTCATGCTGAGCTAGCTCTAGCAAATAGGGTTGAACCATAGGCAGGGTATCTGGCAGAGCTGCAGTATGGAACAGATAAATGACATGCAACAGAAATGTGGTCAAACAGAACAGCTGCTGTTTCCTGCCTCTAAACTCACCACGGCTTTTCTCCAGCTTGAGAAGTAGAACAAAACAAAAATGTAAATCTTCACTGATTGAAGCAGCAGTAGCTTGGTGGGGAGTATAGGAACTGCACATATGGTTAAGACAAACCAAGAACAAGCTTGCTTAGGCTTTCTGTGCTCAAGTTAACATGATGACGTCATGGCGGTGGGGTTCTTGGTGATGACAGTCCCCGGTGTGGCTACCTCTTGAGTCACTTTTCCAGTCTGAACTAATTGCTCTCTGTATCTAACACACAGCTCTCATCCTGGGATCCCCTTAGTCATCCACCTGGGGATTCCCATTGCTTCTCTCCTGTACTGGATCTCCTGTTTCCTGTCTTCTTTCTCAGGTTAACTTCTTTTGTGGAAAAATATCCAAGAGTTTCTTAGGGAAGGATGTGTGGAAGGAAAACTTTTTGAAAGCTTTCACATCTGAAAATGTGTTTCTATTAGAAATAATATATATTCTGGCCTGCGCCACGGCTCACTAGGCTAATCCTCTGCCTTGCGGTGCTGGCACACCGGGTTCTAGTCCCGATCGGGGCGCCGGATTCTGTCCCGGTTGCCCCTCTTCCAGTCCAGCTCTCTGCTGTGGCCCGGGAGTGCAGTGCAGGATGGCCCAAGTCCTTGGGCCCTGCACCCCATGGGAGACCAGGAGAAGTACCTGGCTCCTGCCATCAGATCAGCACGGTGCGCCGGCCGCAGCGCGCCGGCCTCGGCAGCCATTGGAGGGTGAACCAACGGCAAAGGAAGACCTTTCTCTCTCTCTCTGTCTCTCTCACTGTCTACTCTGCCTGTCCAAAAAAAAAAAAAAAAAAAAAAAAGAAAGAAAGAAAGAAATAATATATATTCTTTCAGAATTCTGAACAGTACTTCCAGCTTCCAGAGTTGCTCTTGAAGACTTAAAGCTGTGTTGATCCTTTGTACTTTGTATGTTATTCTCTGGAAGCTTTCAATCTTTCCTTCCTTCCTTCCTTCCTTCCTTCCTTCCTTCCTTCCTTCCTTCCTTCCCTCCCTCCCTCCCTCCCTCCCTCCCTCCCTCCCTCCCAGGGAGAGTGAGAGAGAGAGAGAAAGGTCTTCCTTCCGTTGGTTCACTCCCCAAATGGCCACTACGGCTGGCACGGCACCAATCCAAAGCCAGGAGCCAGGTACTTCCTCCCGGTCTCCCACGTGCGTGCAGGGACCCAAGCACTTGGGCCATCCTCCGCTGCCCTCCCGGGCCACAGCAGAGAGCTGGACTGGAAGAGGAGCAACTGGGACTAGTACCTGGTGCCCCAACCGGGACTAGAACCCCGGGTGCCGGTGCCACAGGCGGAGGATTGGCCAAGTGAACCACGGCGCCAGCCTCAAATTCTTTCTTTAGTGTTCTATTTAAAGTGGTATGATTTGGTGTGGTGTATTTGCATCTGTTGAGTTGGACTTCGAATAGGCTACTTTATTCTAGAAAATCATAACTTGGGGCTGGTGTTGTGGTATGGCATGTTCAGTCACCACCTGTAACACCGACATCCCTATGAGTGTTAGTTCAAGTCCTGGCTGCTCCAATTCTGATCCAGTTCCCTGCTAATACTTCTGGGAAAGCAACAGAAAGTGGTCCAAGTACTTGTGCCCCTGCCACCCACATGGGAGAACCAGAGGAAGTTCCTGGCTTCTGGCTTAGATCTGGCCCCGCACTGGCTCTGTTGCGGCTGTTTGGGGAATGAACAGTGGATGGAAGACCTCTTTCTTTCTCTTTCTGTCTCTCCCTCTCATAACACTGCTGTTCAAAGAAATAAATCTAAAGAAAGGAAAATATTATGCTTTTCTTTGGGAAGACGTTTGTTATTTATTTCATTGATGACTTTCCCCTCTGTTTTCCCTTTGCAACTTCGGCAGAAGCAATATGGATTGCTGGAGTGAAGAGGACGGGGAAACTGGAATTTAGAAATCTAATGCTTCTTCACCAGCTTCATCTGCTGCTCCTTAGCTAAACCACAAACCTCCATTCAGCCTCATTCTGTAGCTTTTTGAAATCTTGATAAGTTGGGTTGATTCTTAGCCATCTCTCTTCAAATATGACTTTGTTGGATTTGCAAAATTTGTTACTACTTGTCCATTTGCTTTCCAGTTGGTAAGATTCTCTTGCTATTGTCTCCCAGGTCTTTTGGACTTATCATTTTATAAAGTTTATATTACAATTTTAATGTAATTTCAAGTGGGATTAAGATAGTTGCATGTCTTCAATTTGCCTTCCCAACCTGAAAGTTTATGTTCTGCTCTTACCAAGTATTGTCAGAGATTAACATAAAAACACTCAAGTCTGTGATAATGCCAAAAGGAATTATTTTCTGTCTCTTTTGTTTTATTTCAATTCCTTCTCTCTTTTTTCCCCCTTTTTTATGGGGGGAGGGGTCATCATTGGGAGAGAGATAGTAGGAGTTGAAAACTCTAAATTCACTAATACGGGCTGTGTTGTTTAAAAATAGCTAACATTTATTGAGTACTTTTCCATATGCTTTGTATACATGTGTATTATCTAAAATAATCCTCATAATAACCCAACTATTAGCTCCATTTTACCAACATTGAAACAGGGGCACAGAGTGGAAATACAGCTTTCACAGGGTTTTACAGCTTGTCCATAGTTGAACCTGAATTTGAATCTAGGCCACCTGACACCAAAGCTTGTGCTCTTAGTTACTATTATTGTACTATTAAATAATAGATATAAAATACAAAAGTCTGTTTTATATGTCTGTTCAGTTTTATTTAATGTATAAGCCCTTCCACTGCATGGTTGTACTGATGCCTTGAAACATTAACTGGAGACAGCCAGGGACCTTTTTATATAGCCAAGTCTTCTTTATATTTGAACAGGCAGGATTGTTCCAGAAAACAAATTCAATATCCATAATATGCAATTGTGTGTGACTTTGTAGCAAGACCGAAAGGTAAGTGAATTAATGCAGTCCTAGAGAGAGTACACAAAAGGTCAATCCTGCAGAGCCCTGTTCATCATATTCTTTCTGTCCTAGTCTTTAAATGGTGTCCCATGAGCCTGAAAGTGTTCAGATGCTTTCCCAGAGTAAGCAGGTTTTTCCCTATACATGTACTAGATCTAGAATACTGGGGGAATTTTTTTTTTAAAGAATTTATTTTATCTCTTTGAGAGAGAGAAAAAGGATGCTTCCATCTGCTTTTTCACTCTCCAAATACCTGCAGCAGCCAGGACTATACCAGGCCAAAGCCAGGAGCCAAGAACTCCATCTTGGTCTTCTGACGGGGATCCGAGTACCTGAGCCATCACTTGCTGCCTCCCAGGGTGCACATTAGCAGAAGCTGGATCAGAAGCAAAACCTGAGTGCAGGCACT